TTTGATACATAAACATTGACCTCAATTACTGTCCACCACTTGGCTAGTAGACAGCTCTCACCACATTATCACTACTACTATTATGACTATTTGCACAATTTATATTCACCATCGTATTATCCTATATACAAAACACCATGATTGGTTTATATTTGAATTTTTATTTGTAAACTTATATATGTTAGAGTTAAGCCTGATGAGATCTAATTGAAAACAATATTGTTCGCTTAAATGTGTTGTTCTAAATTTTAGTTATATATGTCCAAATCAAGTTCACTTTTAACAGTTTGAAAAAATTTGGGCGTTGAGTATATGATATTCATTATGATAAAGGTTTTCTTGTATTTCCCAATGAATGAAAAACAAAACGATATTGTTGTGTTTACTGACGTTTCGCCATTTAATTCTGCTGCTAATAGCTTTATCAGAGTAGAAATACTAAACCAGAAGAGTTTACAAAATCTCAGCTTACATATCTATAACAACTTAATAATCGTTCCTCAGTATGGGGTCATTTTGCGTTGTCAAATTGGCCAACCGGTAAAGATAACACAACCAGGTGTAGATTGTTGAATTTGATAAGTTTGTAAAATTATAAAAGCAGCGTATGTTTACACTATGAAATTGCTCATCAGTCATTTCATGGGGGAGGGGGGTGTTGTAACCAAGTTAAATGCTGTTTTAGTCCATCATTCCTATTCAGACAATTTGGATTCCATTTGATATGAAGTACTTCTGATGAAATGAGACGTTCTTTGTGATTTCTGAAAATTTTCTGGATTATTTCAATATTGTGGCCTGATTCTATAGCGTGTAGACCTGATGATTTTTCAAGCTTCTGTAGGCTAACTAGATCTCTTGGTCGTCGAGCGGATGCTCCACGGTGTTCATTTCTTCTGATTTTGATTTCTCTCTAGCGATGTTTGTCCGTTATATATCGCATTACATTCCGTTTACTTAGTGTTACTCAGTGAGTTGGTAGTTCCCTCCCCTTACACACTTTTCTGATCACAAAATGTGTCCCGGCCGAGTAAGGTAATATAGAGTTTGTATACTTAGTCATCCGAGCATATAGTCTTCTATAGTTGCTTCTAGTTCCCTTACCTGATGAAATGCAGCTAGGAGAGAGTTTTGTATGGACAGGATAGATGCTCAGAGTCCGTCAAGATAATATCCGTTCGCATATTTCTTACATGAGTCCATATGTCTATCTACAACAGTATTAACGAGTTTGTTTAGTGACACCCTACTCACCGATGGCTTTTATTGCCCTTCACAGTATAACAAAGTCTTACTTAAGTACCTTAGGAAAGATTAAGTTGGAAGGAGGTGCATTAAGGAGAACAGGTAGAATACCAGATCGTCTTAACCTCCTAACGTAGATCGTCAAACGAAATATCTTTTTTAGAAACTAACAGTATCTGTGATGACCCGGAGAGATGAGATGAAATGTACACTCCAAGGTATTTAACATTCGATTTGATTTCAACTTCTCTGTCATCTATTATAATGTTGCCATGAGAACTAACCAGACTATATAGGTGGCGCTTGTGTTTGAAAGTGAAATTAACCACCTGGAATTTGGAAGGATTAAGCTTAAAACCATTTGACATAGACCACTGACTAATTTCTGATAAAAAGTTATCCACTTTTGGACAATCTGACTGAGAACTAACCGCCGGCACAGAAATAGTCAGATCACCACAGCATACTCTTAAAAAATCGGTTTCGTCTGAATTGGCAAGTAGGTCAAGTAAGAAGAAATAAAAAGCATAAAATGAGAAAGAACAGCAGCTTGAGGAACACCAATTAGAGTAAGTGAAGCAGTGGAGAACTTCCCATAATAAACAGTGTACTGCTTCCTATCAGAAAACTAAGGATGCAAATACTCGCCTTTGACATCGACTACTGATGGCGCCATATATCTCAGTTTTCGGATAGTTTGATATAGGCTAGAATTCATGCACTGCTGGATTCCCCTCTGTTGACTGAATGCTCAACGAGTTCGTCCCATATTCTGAAGGTCTTTGGTCCGATTGCTGGTGAGGTCGTGAGTATCTGCTGCTGAAGATTTCCAAACTGAAAAACGAAATAACTGTCCACTACTCCCTAGTTCTCAATGATTCTGTAACAGGTATCAGTTCGTGACTTAACTTAGTACCAGAAACAAGCGAAGCGAAAGGTATCATTTCGTCGAAGTCTACTCTCGTTTATTGATTTAACCTGAATATTTATCTTCTGTTGACATGTTGGCTCCTATAACCAACACGTCGACAATGTCTAAGGGATTAATATTCACGTCATTTGGTGGGTGTTGACCAGCATTAGAACCCAGGATGCGCATTTCGTCCTATTTGGACTCGTCACCTCAGTGTATCTGTAATCCCCCCTCCAAGTGACATTGATGATGTTCCCACTGAGACTCAAACGCCAAAGTATTATTCATTAGACAGCTTGAGATACGAGATGTATATTTCTATTAGAATATACACAGCAAGAAAAGTAAGTGTCAAATAATCTTAGATCACCAGTGGTTAATAATAACAGTAATAGTATTAATTTGCTTTATTCCAAGACAGTAGTACAGTGTCGATCGAGAGGTGATTTGGAAACTACTTCACTACTACCAAGGGGTGCTGCCAATAGTTATACATCTTATCCAACACTTTTACAATAATGCTGTATGTCGTATAATCCACGACGAGAAACTCATGGAATCCTTCGAAGTGAAGACGGGAGTAAGACGTGGCCGGCTGCCTACTTTCCCCAATGAATACTTGATTGCGGTAGACTGCATAATGCGACAGACAGTAGGCCGGGCAGCGAGGAAACAGGCATAAAATGACCCACACAAAAAGCTTGAAGGATCCGGACGTCGCCGATGATATATGTCTGATTTCCCACAAACTGGACGAGATGCAAGTGAAAAGCAACAAGTTGGCAGAAGAAGCATCCAGAGAAGATAGGACTTCAGGTGAACGTAGAGAAAACAGAGGTGATGAAAATTCCTGACCAACAGCAACAACAATCAGCCAGCATAAATGGGAGAAATCTGAAAGAAGCAACCTCCTTCACCAAACTACCTGGGAAGTATCGTTTTAACTACAGGCGGACGGAATTGATGAGGACATCAAAGCAAAGATCGGGAAAGCAAGGCAAGTTTTCATTACTCTCAAGTCTGTGTGGAGATCAACAACACTCAGAATGAAAATGAAAATAAGATCCGGATTTTCAACTCCAATCTGAAGTTAGTGCTACTCACTATATGGATCAGAGACTTGGCACAGCGCAGCGTTACGAAGGCCATTTCGAACAAACTACAGACCTTCATCAACAGCTGTCTTCGCTCAAGATCAGAAGGCCGGACAGAGAAAATCAGCAACAGGGATCTCTGGCAATGAGCGAACCAACCCAGCAGGAACCGATTGTACAACAAATATGCAAGAAGAAATGGAGGTGGATTGACCATACTCTGAGGAAACCATGAAGTGAGTAATATCACGCACCAAGCCATCGCTCGAGTGGAACCTGAATGGGAAGCGGCGAGTTGGTCGTCAGTGCGAGACTGACATGTAGGAAGTCATGTAAAGAGGAGATGAGAGCTTGTGGGCAGACGTGGAGCCAGGTGAAAACGTTGGCAGAGAACCGAACGCAATGGAGACGTGCGGCTGAAGTCCTATGTTCCTCTAGGAATTAAAGGAAACAATAATAATAATAAACCCGCATACTCACGATGGCGTTTCAGGCGTCTTGATATTTGATATTTCCGTGTTATGAGAGGTTGACGTGTTAGGCATTCTCTGTTTTAGATAGAGAAACAAGTTCGAAGGGTGTATCACATGAGTAGATTAAAGAGGCGAGCATGCAATCTACGACAGGTAATTATCCGCTGCCATTATGTTCATCGGATGTTTCATCACATGTTTGAGAATATTTCAAAGTGTGTGTGTAGTGATATGTGTATGACCTACAATCTGTACAAAATTTCATCTCTTCAAGTTGTCTTGTGGCGAGAGGTGTCTGCTAGCCAAAATTGTTAGACAGCAATTTACGTCAATGTTTACGTCCCAAATCTTGGTCATGAGAAAAAAACAAGGACAAAGACTAAATCAACAACCAATCACAGCAGACTTTGTTTGCGTGGGTGGATACGATTAGCAGATATATAGTCTGACCTTCAAAGAAACAGCCACTAAGAGATGACAGAATAACCTTCAGCAGGAAAACAACCAATCAGAAGACGCCGTTTCTCTGCTAATAATAATGTACATAAAAATCTATAAATATCTGTTGATTTTCTCAATAAACGATCTATTGCTTTGCCCTTGTCTTCTGTTATTACAGATGTACCCGACAAACAAACGCTCATTACACCAAAATAAAGTCAACAAGCATAGTTTATGTTTTCAATTTTTTGTTATATATCATAAATATGCAGTAAACATAATAATAATAATAAATAGTTATTGTTATTATTATTATCATTGTAAGTAGAAGAGAAACAAGATGCCTTTTTTTACAGGTTTTGTTGTTGCTTTTTGAGATTATTCACCGTTTGATTTGGTTGACTGATCGGCTGATTGATTCCAACCGGTATCTTCGGGCAGTACTTTCATACAATGATGGTAACCATAGTGGTCGACCATCATCAACATATACGTATATCAAAGCAAATTAAGGTGTGTTTTAAACGTGTAAAACTGAAATTATAAGGGTAATTAATAATGATAGTAATAATAATAACAATAATGAGGTAAAGAATGAGAAAGCAGTCAAACTCATAAACTCAACCGAACGATCAATTATTTTATCAGTAGTAATAATAATAACAGTAGTAATGAATATTTCAAACTATGTATAACATTTTATAATATGTGGTGTAACGACGTGGGAGTGAGTATACTTTGGTCAATTAACAATAAGGGTTATCCTAACCCACTGTTGTATGATTTTATATTCATCCATTGATTTATTGATCCAGCGATCAATTTTGACCATCTATTACTTTAATTAACCATGAAACGCATATGGACTGTTGCGTAGAGCAGATGCAGCTACCGGCTCATCATTCTGAAATGCAAAAGAGAAAGAGAGAGAGATAAGAGAAAAAATGTCTGGGAATGAAAGAGCATTAGGGTGATTGAAACTCAGTGGGGAAAAAATGAAGAATCACTGATAACCTTGTAGAAAAAAATGTCAACTAAACAGGCACTTTACAGTCCCATGCAGTTGGTGATAAGGCAAAACTGTTGGGTTCCATATTATCATTATCATTGTTTTTACGAGTTGATCACGGACTGATATCAGTTAGAGAACCATTGAAAACCAGGGAGTACTGGACAGCTGCTGTTTCATCCTAGTTTGGGAATGATCGACAGTACGCACCCAATGAGATTCGAACCCAGGACCTTCCGGTTACAAGGCAAGCTCGTATACCATTCAGCCACTGGGACCCGATTCAATTGCCAATCCATGAATTCTAACTTCTAGGAATTCGTGATGCATTTAGCGTGACCCCAACCATTGTCGTTGGTGGAAAATCCATCCACACACGTGACATCTAATTGGACCTCACTGGTCACGACTTCTCACTAGAACTCCAGGAAGCTCCATCCTGTAGCAAGTCACTAGCGAGCATAATCTCTAACTGATATCAGTCCGTGATCAACTCGTAAAACATAACTAATCCTTACAAACCAAACTATACAAAATTAATCTGATGCTCGCTAGTGACTTGCTACAGGATGGAGCTTCCTGGAGTTCTAGTGAGAAGTCGTGACCAGTGAGGTCCAATTAGATGTCACGTGTGTGGATGGATTTTCCACCAACGACAATGGTTGGGGTCACGCTAAATGCATCACGAATTCCTAGAAGTTAGAATTCATGGATTGGCAATTGAATCGGGTCCCAGTGGCTGAATGGTATACGAGCTTGCCTTGTAACCGGAAGGTCCTGGGTTCGAATCTCATTGGGTGCGTACTGTCGATCATTCCCAAACTAGGATGAAACAGCAACTTTCCAGTACTCCCTGGTTTTCAGTGGTTCTCTAACTGATATCAGTCCGTGATCAACTCGTAAAACGTAACTAATCCTTACAAACCAAACTATAGGAAATTATCACTGTTACTATTATTATTCTTATTATTCCCTTGCGTTCCGAATGGAACATAGGATGGCTTCAACAACACATCTCTACTTTGTCCTGTTTTCTGCCTTTCTCTTCAGCTGGGTCCACGATTGACCATTAAGCCAATGAGACCCGAATTTAAATTAAAAAGCAAATACTGACTTACATTTTTCTTCTTATATAATGATGGCGTTTTTAATCCATATCTTTCAATAAAACCTTGACCAATAACTGCAGACGATCTATGATAATTGGATCCATTTTCACCTGTTCCATTATTTGCATCATCTTGTTGATTAAGCGACCATTCCATTGACTCTTTATTCCCGTAATAACTTCCTTTTTGTCTACACTCCTAAAATAAATAAATAAATATTTCTCGATTACATAGTATTCCATTGATGATACGTTTAAATTTACTGAGAGTATTAAAGATTTTAATGTCTCAGACAAAGTCATGCTCTCATTAGATGTGAATTTGCCATTTACCAATGTACCTCTTGTGGAAACTGTTTGCTATTTATGTGATTATATTGATACACATAGTTTAGAAATAGTGTTGCTGACAATCCACCTCAAAGAACTTTTATTGAGATGCACGTTGAATGTTCAGTCCACCTTGAATAATGAGATTTTTAGACAGAGAGATGGCATTGCCATGGGATCACCACTGGGTCCCCTGCTGGCTGATTGTTTTATGGCAAACCTTGAAAACTCCTAACTTAGTCAAAGCACCCATAACTTTACAATTTATAAGAGATACGTAGACGACACTTTCGTTATCTGCGATAATAACGTAATCGTTGATGATGTCTAGTTTGCTTTCAACAACTGGCATCCTTCTTTACAATTCACCATAGAAAAGGAATCTGAAACAAATATTCCTTTTCTTGGTGTGTGCCTTAACAGACGTAATGACGGATCTCTCAAAAGATCTATCCATCGGAAACCTAAATGGAACGGACAACTGACTAATTTTTATGTTTGGGTGCCTATCTCTAAGAAAAGGAACCTAATGCATTCGCTCTGCTTTAGGATAAAAAACATTTGTAGTTCTGATTGCGTTGACTCAGAAATTGACTTCCTAAAAGCCAAGCTCACAGAAAACGGTTACCGCAACCAATTTATTGGCAGCAATACGAAATATAAGTAGTTTAAACTAGTCACCGACTCAGTTCCAAAGAAAACCTCATTCACGAAATGGGAATTCGAAGGTGATCATGCTTCAGGTATACCCAAAAACCGTCTCTCTAAAGCAATCAGTAGGACGTTCTTTACAGCAAAATTACAAATCACGTTCACCAGCCGTAAGTTGTTCTGCATCTCTGTAAAAGATAAACTCCCCCGTCTGGCCGCTTCCGTGTGCATCTGTTAGTTCACCTGCTCTTGTGGATCAAGGTATATTGGCCGTAGCCAGAGGACGCTTTCCACACGGATACGAGAACATATTCGAGCATGGTTTTACAAGAGAGAATGGAAGTGTGTGAGGAGCTGTATTCTAGAACACTTGATCGACTCCTGTCACTCTGTCAACCCTGATCATGATCATGTGCGTCGGTGGCACAGTGGTTAGGACTCTCGCCGACCATGCACATGGTCCGTGGTTCGATCCCCTGCCGGCGCACACCCGATATCTATGGTCGGCCTGCAAAATTTGGGCTACCGATATCCATGCTGAAAATTCCATACTTGTACTGAAAATACGGTGTGGAATCAAGCTGTAATCAAAAATAATAAAAAAAATAAAAAATAATAATAATATAGAACCCATGCTAACTTCCCGCGTTTTCTTTGTTATAAAATTCTAAAGACAGCGGAGGCCTTGGCAATTCATGACTTTAAGCCAGACCTTTGTGTACAAAAGAAGTATGTACAATCCCTAGTTCTGCCTTGGCCGTAGAGGGATAGACACTTTTTTATTTATTTTGTTTATTTAGTTATTCTATGTACCTTACCCTCATTACTACGATTATTATTATTATTCTCACTCTGAATTGTTTCCTCTTGTCCCACTTGTCATTCTAAATCCAAAATAATTATTTTTTTAACAATATTGAGTTTTATCTTATCAAATTTAACACCATATTAAGTAACATTTTATATTCGCCTACTAATCCTTTAATTATGCACCCCTTTCCAACATCTATACATCTTATGAATTACACTATATGTGGCATTAATTATTTTGCCACTTGACATTAAACTATGATTATAATCACAAATATTTTAATTGCATTTCATACTATTATTATTATTTCATGTATTCACACCTTTGACCTAATTCCCTCACCGGATATAATTTCTTAAAAAAAAACCATATATATACGATTGTACAGCTTGATAATAAATTCCTTGTTGAAAAGAGTCTCTTCGCTGAATATTGTGTTCTTAATACATAATATTTGAGTGAGTTATTTTTATTTATCACTTATTTTATTTCATTCTTTTACCTTCCGAAAGGAACATATAGCTTCAGGTTAGAGATTTGAAGTTTCGGTGGTAGAGGCTGCATTTTCACGACGTGGGACTACTAGTTTCACACTTAATCTTCGCTCTTTACACCAGCCTCACTATTAGTTTAGCGAGGTTTAGCAATGCGTCGGACGGGAATCGAATCCCGGACTACGTGAGGCGTCACTGGCGACCGTTTCTAGCGTTGAAACACCGAGTAGGTGATTAAAAGTCTTTTACTTATTTGTAGTAATGCTGTTCGGTGTCATTCAAAATACCATAGTTACATGTACTGCAATCTTAAAAAGCATGAGGGATATGAATATTTAGACGTAAACCCCTCCAAAAAACAGAAGCATCAAATTATTTTAGGCATTAAGAAATGCTTTCAGTTGAAGATATTTTCTACAGTATTATAATTCTATTTCACTTTTATACTGAAGGGTGACTTACATGAAGTGGTTAGTTCGCATGGTTCCATTATCATAATTGGCACAGAAGATAAAACTGAATCGAATGTTAAATACACTGGAATGCGTACACACATTATGTCAGTGTCTACAAAGATATTCCTGTTGACGATCTACGTTAGAAAGTTAAAACAGTCTGGTATCAGTCAGTCTCTACTTTCGAAATTTGTAAATTCTTGTATTCTATTAATTCTTCTTTACCGCTCCCCCTTTCTCTCTCCTGGGCTACTTAAGAAAGACTTTGTTTGTCTCCGAAGGGTATTAAAAGCCATTAGTACGGTGAGTGAGGTGTCACTAAACCAACTCGTTAATACTGTTGTAGACAGACACATGAACTCATGTAAGAAGTGTGTAGGCAAATGATATCTTGTCGGACTCTGAGAATACATCCTCTTCATACACAACTCTCTTCTAGCTGCATCTCATCAGGTACGGGAACTAGAAGCATCTATAGAAGACAATATGCTCGGACGACTAAGTATAAAAACTCTGCATTACCTTACTCGGCCGGGACACATTTTGTGATGAGAAAAGTATGTAAGGGAGGACACTACCAACTCACTGCGAGACATTCAGTAAACGGACCTCTTTATTCTTTCATTGTAATATTGTTGTTGATACTGTCACTTAATCTAATTTTATATTCATATTCATATTGAACAATATTATCAGCCTATAAACCCTGTTTTAATTATCACTCCTGTATTGAGTAAGTTAGGTGCAATACTCTCCTACTGCATGCTGAAAATTCCATATTTGTACCATAAAATACTGTTTGGAATAAAGCTATTATCATTACGAATAATTAGTTTTCACGCATTTATTCCCTTTGATGAATTTAAATAAAGGAGGAACAACAGTGGTTTGTGCAGAATAATATGGTACCATCATTTATTTCGTCGGCTTCTCATCAGCTGCTTACAACCTAAATAAATTCTGAACATGTACCAAAAAGCTTACGTCTAAAGGGAACAAATTCTTTAAACAGTGCCATCGCCAGGCAGGTCATGAGGTGGAAATCGAGAAATCCTTTAAAATTATCAATAGACAAAGGAGCTCCATTCTCCTCAAGTTTGCCGAAGCAATTTCTATCAAACACTTGAAACCAGATTTATGTGTTCAGAAAGACGTAATTATTAGTCTTTCCTTGCCATGATAACTGGATGTCTTTATTCTCTACTCTGATTACGTAATCTTTATCTTTAACCTCACCCCTCCTTTTTTTATAATCTGTAATACTGCTTGTCTCTTGTTTCTGTGACGTGATTTGAACTCAGTACATCGTTACCAAATTTGTTAGTTACTCATCATCTTACTCATTTCTCGTTTTTATTACGTAACTCCTTTACCATTGTATGCATACATTTATTTTGACTTGAGCTGCCTGTGTAAAAACTATATAAGCACAATTTTCTGAACTTTTTTCACTAATTGTGGAACTTTCTGTCAACTGACAACATGTAAAATTTGCAAGTATGTTAAAACTTTTCTGTACGTAAACCTCACAATTTATTTAGACTGTAAGCAGCTGATGAGAAGCCAACGAAATAAATGATGGTACCATATTATTCTGCACAAACCACTGTTGTTCCTCCTTTATTTAAATAATTATTTTAGTAGTTTCTATTAAGAAAGCAGACTAGTAGGCATTTTCCGTTGAACAATAGTACTGGTTTATGCAGTATGAAATACTAAAAACACTGTGTGAGAGAGGGTAATGTTCTTTAGACATTCTTCAATTCATTTAAGGTGCAGGCGAGTATTATTTCGTAAAATATGCCGCCTCAGCGGAAGAAATCTGAAGGAAGTCACTCCTTTTACTTACGTGACTCTGTGACATCTTCCACACTAATGTCAATCAAGCCAGTACTTCTAAATGGCTTACAGACTTCGCACGTAACCATCACCAATTTCAGTAGGTTTCGAACTTTCATCAACAGCCGCCTTCTCTGACTCCATGCTGAAGATTACATAGCCGTCCAGAAAGGATGAGCAATAAATCAACCAAGAGCCTATCGCCTGACAAATATGCATATGGAAATGGATTAGACACATGCTGAAGAGATATCTGAGTGACGACACACTACAGGCTGTCAAGTGGGGACTGAATGAAAGATGACGAGTTGGGCGTTAGTTCATGAATATAAACACGGAGGAGAACATGTGAAGTGGAAGTGAAAGTGTATGGGCTGAAGAGAACAGAGTGAAGTGCATGTGTGCTACTGAAGCCCGACGTTCCACTTAGGACACATGGAAATAACAATTTTACTCTTTTTTGGAGTGTTTATGCGGTGTAATGGTGGGATGTTCACCAGCAGTAAGGGTAAGGGATGCGGGTCTGATTTTCAGCCGACTAGCCTCTTAACCTCGTCTAACCACAGTATTAAGCCTAGGAAAGAGAGAAGGTTGCGTATGAGGCATCACTAATGACACTTCAAAGCTTGAAGTTCTGTGTTTCCCTCGGAATTCAGACAATACAAGAAGCTTATTGGATAAGACTTATAAAGGCATGTCTTAAGCATCTATTCGTACGTTTACCACTAGATGTTTGCCTTGGATGTGAGTCGTCAGTTGGTTATACTGTCTTGAGAGCAGCACTTATAGGATGTCCCGATTTTTCAACAATTTAACACAGGATTTCATCATGAGCTGAAATTGGTTAGAGAACTATTGGAAAACAACCAGGGTGTACTGGACAGCCAGCTGTTTCGTCCTAGTTTGGGACCCTTCAGCAATACGCACCCACCAACAAGGTTCGAACCCAGGACCTGCTAGTTACTAAGCTAGCGAGCTCGTACACAATTGAGCCACTGGGACCCGATCCAATGGCCAGCCCATGAATTCTAACTTCTGCCAATTCATTACACAGCGTGACCATTTCTCAATGTCTTCTCCGGTGAGTTACTGCCTCACCTTCAACTTGTTGCACCCTACTGGTCACGGCCTCCCATTAGAATCCCCGGTCACAGCCTGAATAGGGCCAGTCACTAGTGAGCATCAGATGAATCTCCAATGGTTCACTAACTGATGTCAGTTCATGATGAAATCCTCCAACAAATCAAACTAAATCCCGACAAAAATCAATACCTGAAAAATCATCAAGTATTGGGTTCGAATGTGGGATTACGCAACAAACTGTTCAATAATATAGATGTTCACTACTAAAGGCAATCATTTGCGTATATTGTATATTTAAGAAATCAAAGATATTTTTAAAAATCAAAATTCAGTTCAGAGTACATAGCCCATGGATCATCGGATTAAGCGACTTATCTATCAGCATAGAAATTTGCAAAAAAATAGCATCACTTCAAGTTGATACGCTTGATAAAAGCACATAAGAAAGTAGTGACAATGAATATAATGTGCATTTTTAGAGCATATTCCTAGATGGCTCCAGAAGCAAATAGAATCACCAGAACCTATTAATGGTGGGAACAGGAGACCTAGCTCCTCTATTGCGAAACATATACTATAGAGACAGGACATAAAATTGATGTTTACACGTCTTTTAAACTTATGTATAAAACGTGTTTTGGGCGTATACTAAAGTTTGCCGAAGTCCTAGCACGCATTTAGAAAGTTCAAACCACCTCTTAGCGTTCATAGCAACAATTCGTCATCACAATAAACCTTGCTTGGTAAACTTTGTTTTGATATCATAGCAGACGTACTATTACCTCTCTTATTTGGTTTAGTGGTTTTCCTTGTTATTTTGACCTTCAATATGTCTTTTTAACTTGACTTAAGTCTGTTTTCTCACCTCCTAGCTCTTCCTATGACAAGTCCTCGTGTGATCAGTTTGTTCGAAATGTGTTGTACGCAAATACATCACAGCACGATTCAGATAAATTACGTCTTCTTATTGTTTTGTTTAACTAAATTCATAAGGGAAACTAACTGTTTTAAAGAATATAAAACATTAAGGAGTGAATACGTCTGAGTCACTTTTGGGGAATTTTGAGCAATTCCATAAACAGACAGTCTTTAATCACTGGATCTTAGTAACTTCAGGAACCCAAATAGGTGGTTTACACACCCTCATTGTGTGGGTCAAACAAATAGCCAACAGCTTCATGGATGTATCATATAATACTTTATCGCATATAAGGCCAAGTTAACACAGTTGAAGTTAACAGAATATCATTTGGATATTGATAGAATTTATTATGAACTGAACAAAGTGTGTCCGCTTTTGCTGTATTCTCTAAAATTCACAGCGAATTTAGAACTGAAGTTGTTGTCCAGAAAGATAATAAGAACTTAGGCATCAAGACATCACCCAGCTCAAAGGACAGAATACTGGGCTAAAAATCTACTCCATTAAGCGATAAATACCTAAGCATATATTTGCATTCCAAACTTTGTTATAAAATGAAATTATGTATTAGCTCATTTTCTTCGACTGACACCTAGAATATTACCAAATGCATAACATGGTGGCGACATTGTGCTTTATTTAACCAACAGATGGATAATTATCATGAAGATAGTAATGAGATCTGTACCTCATAGGAAGCTAAGTGGAAAATATTTTTTCGATTGAACACTAGTCAGTAGCTAGTGTATGGTGTATGTCTAGTCCTATCTTGGGTGCAGACTGAATTCTTTTAGTCAAGTTTGCAATATGGCCACCATGCTAGGTGGCTAGCCATCACCGTGCACTCTGAATCTTTGGTAGTAGATAGTTGGAGGCAATCGGCAGGAAGCCTTAGACCTAGGTTTCGTGCTAGTTGGTATTGACCAGTCAGCAAGGCGTATCTGCAACCTTGAAGGAACTCATGTGTCTTCTGAGATTCGAAACCGCGTTTTGCTGACACTGAAGTATGTTATTCTGAATGGTAGATAGCATTAAAATGTAGACAGATTGTTGAATTTCTGTCTGTCTGTCTGTTTTCGACATAGAACTTTGCACATATGTGCGGCAGTTCAAGTCGCCACACTCCATGTACCACACAAAGGAAGAGAAGAAAGTAGGAGATATGCATATTACAGACAGTAAACAGAGGTGTGAGACAAAAGTATAGTAATAACGGAGAACAAAACAGTTTCATTGGAAATCATAAGTCACAAGGAGCCGATGCATCTGTGCCATCACTGAGAACGATTTTGAATCATGTCACCAATCGTTTCCAACCACTGGTTTTTACCGTCCCGAGGAGCCCAACCAGGAAGTCTGCATCTTCCTACGTGGCTTAGACTAACTGTTGTAGATTTCATTGACTGGTGCCATGTTTTGGTTTGACAGCCGCTAGCTCTTTTCCAGCCTGACCCTACATCAGCTAACATTGATTGTTAAATTTACACATAGTTTAACTCACAGTGCACAAACACACAATCTGTACCTGGTTCTACCTTTTCCGTGCTTTTGAAGTCCTCCAAATCCCCAAGTGGAACTCAAATTGAGAGTGATGAGTTGGTTGTATGAGGGTTAAATAGAGGAGATTAATGTGTAGAGGGCTGTTATAGAGCCGATTGAAAATAAAGACGAGCAGCCAAGCCTAGTGTGAACGTGCCACTGATGACTTATTTTCCACTCGAAACACAAGGAAAAGCTGCCACATGAGATGGAATTCTAGTGATAGTTAAAGCTGGTTTCCTCAGAAATTACAATTTAAGTTGCTAAGGCTGAATTACACAAGCATAAAGTCAAAGAGCCTAGGTTAGACAATCTACACAGAAGAGATCATCTTATATTGAACGTTATCATCTTGCGACAACTGCTTTGTTTGCTAGAACATGTCCTATGAATGTCATCCTACAGGTTGCCATTCCTCTCACTATTCACTAGGCTTGCGAATGGATGGCAAAGCGGAGAGGTAGTCAGCCTATGACGTGGAACCGAGGGATGAAGGATACTTGTGTCATATTAGCATCCACTGGTGCATCACGAACTCCTGGGTAAGATCGGAGAGATAATTCAAGCCAGTGGCTCTAAGTGTTATCACATATGGACGAGAATTGTAATCAGTGTTGAACATGCTGCAACATGAAGTAATGTGAACCATCCTTTGAGTGATCTGCAAAAGTATGCCCACTTGCTTTCTAAGCGAAGTCCCACATTTATTCTATCCTTATTTTTCTTATATACTGTTGTTTAAATATTTTTTGTGTGGCTTATCTCTCGATGCCCACAATGTACCAAGTTTGTTTTTTATTATTAACACTAATAAACTTTTACGAAATATCAAAAAATACTCATATATATTTACTTACTTTTAATTCTTGAGCAGAGTATCTTGGGAAATCCTGTTGAGTGATGCTTTGAGATCTTGACTTTAAACGTTGTACGTTGGGTGTTTCGTCTACAATTCTTCCATTTCGCCTATGGTACTTTTCTGAGCCAATTCCTTCATCTGGATCTGTATGCCATGGTGCATTGATCATTCCTCTTCTATGTTCTTTGCTACTTTTCGGCTTTTCTGGTGTTTCAAGGAGAAATGAGTCTTCATCAGTTTTATATCTATCCAATTCTCTTTTTCTAGCTCTTTCTTTAGCCGCTTGAATCAGGTGTTCTACTCCACTGGTATCCTTCAAATTCTTAACATTATTTAAATTTATTGTTAAAGAATTAACTTTATTCTCTTTGAACATAGTCATAATAATGTCAAATCATAAGTAACTGTCTTGTATTCAACTTACTTTTTAAAGTGGATGGCTTTCCCTTAACTATAAGGCAAAACTGTCGCAAGTAATTGTCTATTGTATATGTGAAATTATATAAATTCTTGAAAAGTGACAAATAAACTTTAGTCACTCTTGTCACTTTGTCTCTCGCTTGGGTTCTTCGAAATCGACATGAACGTCTATGAACCGTTTGATATCTGTGCCTCAGTGTCATTGTTAACTTCCATCTATTGGAGCATAGTGAGTAGTTTAAACCTTTTTCGTCGTTGACAGCATTACTGATTCCAAAATATAACCTCACTCCTGGTAATTTACTCAAAACATAGATAAGCATACGGTCTAGAAAAACAGTATCAACAGCGCTAGTAGTATAATATGAAACCCAAAAACAGTGAAATCACGAGTCAAATTTCTAATTAGGCCCCTATCATGACTTCTTTCGGAACTACACCCAAAACGGTATGAAAGTAACCAGTTACCTAGGCTTAATTTTAAATGAGGTGGAACTCAAACACAGGAAGCTTTATCTGAAGTTAGAGTGGTTAATTAGAACAATTTGCCGCATAGTCAAGTTTATAAATAATCCATCTAACAACTGTATTTGTTGAGTCGAACGTTAATTGTTCAGAATAGCATCCATACAATGATCTTACTGCATGTACTCCACAATTAAGTTCTGTTAATCAGATGAAACTATCTAATTTTATCACCATGAATGTAAATTCACCTTTACTTCTCATCTATACTAAAAGTCTCTAGAATAACAAATAAAATACCTTACTTTTTCAGAGTTTTAAGTCATTGTTTGTAATTCACAAATGATATGAAATTATGAAAAAAGTTAGACATTTCTCCTTGGATTTCTAGCTGTCTTATCAAACTTGTTTCATACAAGTAAATATAATCTTGCAAAGATGACCTGTGAATAAATGATGACAAACTAAAAGCCGAAATTATGTTAAGACACACTACACTGTATTGAAGCTTTTGGAATGTTTCTGAAGTCAAGTAAATGTATGAACAGAAGATATACTTAGGGGAGGCAAGACGCACCTAGCAGTGTATACCTTTGGTCTCCTATCAGCCAATCTATATGAGTTGCGAAATTAAATTTGTTATTACATTAAACTCAAAGTATGAATGGAGGAAAGTGATTATTAATCACCATTTTAGAAACTTATCTGTTTATTTGTTTTCATAATTTTTATTGTGTTATTTATCGCCACTAATATTCTGACTATGTTCCACTCTATCGTGCTGGATTTCTAAATCATATTTTGAAGAGTTCTTATCTTTCTGACTTTTAACTTCTGTGTGAAGGCAGTGATGAGTGAGAAGCCACTGAATAAGAAGAACAGACATACATTCGTTTTGTGCAATTATTTCAATAATTTTTTTACACAAAACAAAACCACGACCTACTAATTGCTAAAATGCCTGTCGGAAGAGTCCTCTAAGCGGACCTATTATAAGGGCTTGTACTCTTGGGTTAGTAACTGCTCAAAATATTCATGCCTATATCAGGTTGAAATGAGTTTTGGAGGTTAACATATATACTAGATGAATAACCTGTGGTGAGATCAATATTCCACAATAACTGTTAATCTCCACGGCTTAAGTGAGCATGTTTAGTTCAAGACATTTGTTTCACCACGTGATGTACTGTCAATTTGAGTTTGTTCAAGCAAGCTAATTACCTACCTTGATTCAAAAGATGCCAAATAATCAATTTATTCTCTGAGTTTATGCATATAAATTCAGATAGTGTTCGCCTAACGTTTTGTATCTAGTGATAATCACAATCATTTCAATATTAAAGTTTACATTAGGCATCCGATAATAAATTATACTTACACCAACTTTGAAATTTCTAGTCAAATAAAAGTGGTCTATAAATTACATCACAACAAAAGATAAAGAAACAGTCTGTGTGCATATAATAACCACTCACTTCGTTATGTCTTTCGTGGAAATTTGAATCTAAGCTTTCATCCGTCCTGTAATTATCTGCTTCACCATCTGCAGATAGAACAGATGTAATTTTTTCCGTGAAAGAAATGACTAACTTTTTTCAACTTTTGAACCATTCACGGGTTCTTCTCTGCTTCCGTTGCCATTACAAATTGAATATTTATTGTCTACTGCGTGGTTTTCTATGGGGGCCTAAAATATCTATAAAGTGTTGTATCTTATCACTTTTCGGACATCTTGACTACTGCGTTCTCCCACAAGCCGATCAACTTCCTTTTCATTCTGGATTAACTAATACAGTACTTCACAAATTACGTACATGGTTTTGGTGAATTTTCGGAGTTTCACGGCCATTATTCATTCCATTATGTACAATATAACTGCCATTTACGGGATTCTTAATATGCTCCTCAAAATACTGTGGTTCATTTTCTGAACCGAATAAAGAGGTTCTTCTATGTGCTTGATTAAAATGTCTTCTACCTGGACCTTCATTACACAAATTAAATTTACCTCTTATCTCTTCTGAGAATGAGACTGGACTTCTTGTGTTGATCACTGTAGTCGAAAGCATTGAAAAATTTTCGGCGTATATTTCTCAACCGGCAAAATGGTATGCCTCTGACTCAACAACGTCCTTCCTATCAATTTGTGTTCGGCTTCGAATTCCCACCAAACTTACTGTTACTATACCGACTCAGATACCAATTTCAATATTGCTTCTGTATGTTAAGTGATAGTATATTTCAAAGCCTTATTAATCCTTTCCATAAGCCACATAATGAAGGTTTAAATATGGTTTGAGTGAATCACCAGGAGGCACCAAATTTAGCGGTTACTGTGCAAGGAATAAATTAGATATGCGGCCGATTAGACCGTAATTCTGAAGATTTAGGGTGAAATCCTCCCATTTTTTTCGTCTCTGGATGGAAGAAACAATAAGGATGAGCCGGCATTATGATCATTAGGATATAATGCTAACATGATATCACCTTCAATGGCCCTCAGAAGAATTTGTAATGTTTCTAAGCCCTCCACAACCTGTATATATACATATTTGTGTATCCAATATCATTTTTACGAGCTAGTATAAACCAGTTTGATTTCTTTGTGCTCGCCTCTTGATTGTGAGGTAGAGGTTCCTGATCTTCGGTAAACGTCTGCGTAGCTCGTCCCGCCACTCGACTGTCGTAGCTTTGGTTGACTCCAAAAGGAGTAGTGCTGGGATTAATTATATGTGGTTTGTAGTATGAGGTGTGTTAAGACTGTTACTACTGTGAATGGAGTTGATCCTTTCACCAGTTGGTCCTTCGGTATCGTCGTCAATAGAAAAGAGATAATAATAATAATAGATATAATTAGTGAAGGTATTCATACTAACAGACAGAAAAAGAATAAGAAAACGTAACAACAGTCAGTCAACCGGTATATATATATACATACCGGTAATAATGATAATGAAAATAGGTGTAGTTAAAGCTATCAGGAGAGTAAGACGGAAGAGAATGTAAAGAAGTAAAACGATAAGTTTAATTGTCTACCCTTGAATGGTGTATGCGATTTTAAGAGGATAGGCCATTTGGATGCAGTCCCTGTGTCGCTGCATGATTTTCCATCCTTCGCTTAAAGGCGTCCACAGATGGTGCCACAGCTACGTCTGCCGGTGAGGAATTCCAGGGACGGCAAACCCGCAGGGAAAAGAAGTGGGAGCGCACCCGGGGCCTTGCCCTCTGATGAGCTATCCTTCTAGGATTTCCACGAGGGAGCCTATACCTACTCAATGGCAGAACACATTTGGTTGGGTGATTCTGATCATTTGTTATTTTGTAGGCAGTAATTAGATCCCCCCTAAGACGACGGTAACTAAGTGTGAATAGGCCTAATTTCTTCAGCCTTTCATCATATGGTTTATTTTGCAGACCAACCAACCCATTTGTTGCCCGTCTTTGGACTCTGTCCAAGAGGTTAGCGTCTCTTCTAAGCATTGCGCGTGCAATAATACTATGCACTTCAAGGTGTGGTCTGACGTATGTTTTGTACAACCTTAGAAAGACCTCAGGAGTGAGTGCACCTAACTGTCTATGTGTAAAGTGTATGACCGCATATGCCGTCGCTACGTCCATCGCTACGCTTGTGTCCATTTATTCCGTTAGAACTAGACCTAAGTCGCGCTCCGGCGTTGTGCGGGACAAGCTTTCATTGCACAGGGTGTACCTTGCATTCTGCAGTCTACAGGTGCGTAATTTCACTACTTTGCACTTTTTCAGGTTGAAAGTCACGCCTACAGCCTATCTGCAGCTGTATCTAGTTCTTCAGTTATTCACTCTGTAGTTTGTTTCTAGCAAACTTCCAAGCTTGGGTCATTTAATGCGCCCACTTGCTGACTCACTTTGTGCATTGGTGTCTGAGTTATTGACTGTTACTTGTGGATATATTTCTGCATTCACTTAGAGTGTGCTGCTGTCTAAATAGACAGGTACTGGTTTGTCTATTCATGGCAATATCTCGTCAAATCACAGCGTTTCGAAAGCTGTGTAGCTGCTCCAAAAGCCCCTTAGAATAGGGGAACAAGAGGTGGCCACATCTTGTCAAAGCTAATCTATATGTGGGAACTAATTAAAGAGGCGTACAGCTCTTGATTTTGAATGTAATTGAATTAGCCTTGAGCCAGTCATTAGCAAGTATAAAATATCAACTTGTGTGGCCTGACAAAGAGTGTTATTACCCGCATTTAGACTGACAGGATCGCAAGGATTTATAGGGCTAGTTTTGAACACCACTTTCTCTGATTAGCATTTGGCATCGGCACTGATAAATGTCAGGACACCGAGTATTATCATTGTGAGAAACTTTATCCAGTGATTTAGTTAGGAGTAGGATATCAACTCCGTCGATGGAAGCCTTCCCCTGCTTCTTTGACTTAAGTATAGTCTGAAGTGTAGTAGATTCTGTCTAACAAGTTGCTGCAGATCCCCGACCCAAAATGAGTTCACATATCCGCCGGTATTATAGTAATAACATGAACCGTGGATACTCAGTATGAAAAAAAGCGATTACTATCATCATCGCTCTGATATCAGAGAGTGGTGCGGCTCAAGTGAACCTATCAATTCTTGCGAACATGTGAGTCTATTAGAGCTTAAAAGACTGCTAGTTCCAAGTGAACTTGGCAAAATGTGGGGTCTGGGTTTGATATTTCTCCCAGGGGCAATATTGCATCTTTTAACTTTCACCTTCAGGTGTGGTGCAAACTCTCTTATCCAGTTCCAGACGTTGTGTTCCAGGTTCTGTCAAATGTATCTTGCGGAAATCATTTTAGCTGAAATTTTCACCACATGGCGCTATGATGAGTGGAGCTTACTGAATATGAGTTTTGTCGTAAGCTTATCGACGAATGGTCTCGGTAAATCTTCAATCATGGCACCGTGCATTAAGTTTTTATCAGCATGTTTTGATAATTACTAGGGTTTGAGGCCAGAGCAGTTTGGAGTGAGAATACACTTAAACCATTTGTGGCTTCTTTTATCCCCAACAAGCACTTTAAAGTTTCAAGTGGTTTGTTGCACTGTGTTCTTGTGTATTTTGAACAGTGCATCAATTATGTTTTTCTCCGACCATTCGTGTTTCTTGTGTCACCGATAAACTATGGTATAAAATCAAGCTGAAGAATCTGGTGAGGCGAGTACTAATCTGTTTTCGCATTAAGTACATAGGTGAGGGATTTACGATTTTTGTAGGCCGCGAACTTTCTGTCTTCTACCATGTGGTGAATAAGCTTAATGGCTTGGTAGGCTCCTGGTAACTCTCTGTCAAAGGCAGAATACCTGCTTTTTGCGGAAGTTAAACGTTTACAGGAGGTCGCAACTAGTCTCCAGCTATTGATAACTTACTGGTTTATTGCTTTCCCGTCGCCCTGTTGGATGCATCAAAAATTAGTACAGGAGCCGCATATTTGTCAGATAGTATTGGATACTGCCTGATGTCATCCGCCTCTTCGGCCACTGTTGCGGTTCCGCAGTTGTCACTGTCATATCCCGAAAACTCCGTTTTTTCTGTCCCAAAATTGTTATGCCATTGTCTTCCAGTCGTCACAACACTGGGTAAGGGTTGTCTTCATGTGTGTTTTAGTCTAGAATAGTGCTGATTAAGCCATCTGCCCTTGCCTGCGCGGATAGCATTTCACACGACAAGTCACCCATAAGTTCTTTAAAAGTGTGACCAGTTTAACGAAGGCCAAATTGCATCCATGTCAACTCACGCGATGTGGAATGGTTGGTCATGACTGCTTAAGGTATATCTTCTTCAGCTACAAAAACTTTGTGATAAGTGCGAAATCGGTTTATCCTAGTAAATACTGTGGCACCACTTCAAATTTCTCTCTAGCCTTTCTCAGTTTATTCGTGTCCAACCCCCATAGTTGGCGAAAACTGGGGGTTCATGTGTCCTTATATTATGGGAAATGTTTCGGACCATCCCTGGAAATGTGGGCGCAGGTTGCTGTTGTATTTCGGAACTCGGCTGTCATTTGCTAGAAAATTTCGGATGTTACTGGCGGAGACTGAACAAAGTTTGATGAATGTTATCCGTTCGTCTACCACTTGCAAATCTTTGTTTCTTTGATTGTTAGTTACCTCCCCCGTGTTTTGACCGACGGCTATTGAATTTCTAGGAAGCCTATATAGACAGTTGCCAAATCTCACTCGTGTTTAAGTTTTATTGGTGGCCTCCAGAACGGTGAGGGGCGTCTCTCTACCATCGTCTGTATTAATTTTTGCTCTGATACAGAATGGAGCCGCTGCATCAACCAATGAGTTAGTAATGTCACTTTTATCCTTGAAGTGGAGTAATTTACCGTGCTGGTGGCCTGTTTCGCTGGTTTCCGACTAGGGTTTCTTATTCGCCACTGCTTGTGAGGTCGTTCAAGCGAGTCGCATGGCTGTGTGGAATTGTTTGACCTTGCTTTTCTGATTCCGCCTCATTGACTTAGGACGTCGACTGTTGGTAGATCTACCCCAATGGTCCCATGTCACCTGTATTCCCGGTATTGATTAGCTAGTAATCTAACTTTGGTCACAAGTTCCGATACTTCTGGGTCATTAACGGTACACTTCCTTCTGCGTAGGAACTTCTCGATAACATTTGATCTGAGGTGCGTGCTGATCACTATAGGTTTCAGTCAGATTACTGGGCACCTGGTGAATGTTGCATTAAACCCAGGGAAGGCATGCACTCAGGCTCCCTTTATTACAGCTCCACCCATAGGGACAATAATTGGAATAAGGATTTCTCTCCCATAGTCTCTGTAGAACAACAACAGTATGCTCGAGAAACGGTCCGTCACTTCATGCTTGAGTAAAGAATGTGTGAGTTCAAGTAACTCCTTACTGTTGAGATGGAGGAAAACAAATATCTCCATTCCTGGACCTAACATTGCATCTTTAAGAGCAGCACTTTGACTGAGAACACTATTACTAAGCATCGTTTATGACTAAGTCAAGTTTCCCAGCTTCCATGGACACTAAGGAAACTATGTGCCGAGAGACAGAGATTTTATATCAGATTACACGCCCGGTGAAATATATAACATAACGATAAAACAAACCGTACTCATGAATAAGAGAAGAAAATTCTGAAAATTTATTACGGTTAACTTCAATTTAACAATCGGCGAAGAATGAGAATTGCCCCTTTCGCAACCTAATCTGCTATCGAAATGCGAAAAAAGTAGTTGAATACTATACCCTGTATACTGATAGTGCAAACGTTAATTTCGTACGTGCATTTGTCAACTCAGAGTGGCGTATATATATCACGCTGGTGACCAAGCTCATCAAGTAATGATTTATGAATACTACAGTTCATCCAGTAGGCTTTCACGAGGTTCTGATTTCTCATATCTAAACATCGCCTGGATCCGTATACTACGTAAATATTCTTTCCCATTGCTTTCCGAGTGGAAAGTAGGACTTCTAGCTTGAGCTTTGAAGTTTTCGTAATAGCGGCGCACTTTAACGGTTTGAGGTTACCAGCTTTACGCCCACCCTTTTCCCTTTCTCGGAACTATTACCAGCCAAGTTAGGTTTGGGAATGCATTGGCTAGCAGTCGGATTCTGGACCACGTGAGTGCTGTCTGCGACCATTCTACCGTTGAATCGCCGACTCACAAACTAATTGTCAGGTCCCCATGTCACTTAAGATACTTTTTTCTTTCAATCATGTCCACTGCAGGGACTAAATCATATTATCCACACCTCATAAAAAGAAAGTATGGAACCAGCGCACAGATAAAATATAATAATAATAACAGCTTTATTCCAAAATGTATTGTGGTACAGGTATGGAATTTTCAGCGTGCATTACAATATTGCATCTAATTACCTCATAAATTTTCTAAGATTTTAAAATCAAAAAGCAACAGCCAAAATAAATAAAAAAGTACAGCGTTGTGCTTAAGTTTTTAAACAATGTACCACAGGATATGAAATATAAAATTAATGTGTAATAGAAGATGTGAACAACAATATAATAGTAACGAAGAAAGGTAAACAAAACTAATGGGACTAATTGTTAGAGTGCCACAGTAAGTTGATCGTGTCATACCTAACAGATTTCTCATCACATAACAGCTGTGCCAGATAAGGTATTGTGGAGTTTTGTACTTGGTAGTCCTAGCATATAGCCTCCAATAGCTGCTTCTAGTTCTACCAGATGAAATGCTGGGAGAGAGCTGCGTATTGAGAGGATGCTCGGGGTCTGACAATTCAGTATTCGCTAGTTTCTTACATGACATTATATGTCTATCCACAATAGTATTAACCATTTGGATTTAGATTTAGATTCGGACTTAGTGATTGGAGATAGAAATCCTAAAGTCTATGTTAGTCATTTTCTAGTACGCTTCAGTACTCGCCTAGACCCTTCTTGGACATTGTCAGTTGAGGATGCTAACACCTCTTCTCCTAGGCCTCAGGATTTTATGACTCGTTAGGAGTGTATGGAGTCAATGAAATCCCGTCAGTGATTTCTGTAATTATTTTGGTGAAGTCATTTTCTTAAGGGAGAACTATCGTAGGGTCGGTACAACACAGTACGCTATAGCCAACCAGATATAGTTAGTTGCTGGGGAATTTGGAGAGATGAGATGAGCAGCTAAGTAAGGACTGTACTATTTATGATTTGTAAAGCTTTTTTATTGAATGATGCATTCCCTTATGTGTGTGACTAGGTCTCCCATTTACTTGTTCACCGCTGCCCTTTGGAAGGTAAATACTCACTACCTGAATTTGTTTCCCCAAACAATACAAGCTGAAATTCGGCAATTTTTAATTATACGGATAAAATACTTAGCTTCCTTTCTAGTATTCTACAGCTGTAAAATTTCTTCTCTACTTTTGAACTCTCCTGCTGTATCCTTTGTCAATTCCAGCCTGGTTGGAAGGAAAACTAAGGATTAGTCAGGTCCAAATTCATTGTAGTAGATTTTAACCACTGCAATGGGACCTCTTCTCTGCCAACGGTATATCAGACAGACGGGATTAAAACTGTTAAGTTTCCCCTTGCGTGGTAAGTTGGTCACTTCTAGAATCACATACTTGGCCTTCCCTTGAGCCCTTTCTAGAATGTGCAAGTCCCTCCTGAGACTAGGAATGGCTGTCCCGATGCATTTTGCCAGCTTTGAACTCACCAAAGACTTATATAAGGATTCAGCACATTAACAAGGATTCTAATAAGCGCTTTGTGTGTTACCAGTAATGATCTGAAGGTTCGAGCTGCCATTTTGCGACAATATTTTGTAGCGGTTTGGTACCGACTTATTACGGCACCTAAATTCGTATGGGTCAGGAGTGATGGTAGTGTTATTTCCTCTAGCTCGTTACAGCCGATACTTGCATCTCTTGTGGCTATAATTGTGCACCTCATCATGTTAATTAGGGGCTTCCAGTCTTCGAGCGACCCCTACAATATATTGAAATCTGCTCGCGACCTGAACGTGCCGTCTGCGTAGAGAACCATTGGAGATTCGGTGGACCTAAGCAATTCGTTCATGTAAAATATTATTAACAGTGGACCAGGTACGGTATCCTGTGGTACTTCGTCATGTACCTTTATCCATGCGGAGAATTTCGAGCTGACTCCGTCTCCTGCATATGTGAAGTTCCCCGATCCAGTTTAGCATGCTGTCATTGATTCCAGGAGTTTCCAAGTTCATCAGGAGTCTTGTGTGCGTCACGTAAATCTACACTTCCCTTTGGTACGATTCAAATTCCTCAAATTTCTCAGTATTGAGTATATACTCAGTGGTAGTAGAAGTCCACAAAATAATGCGTTTGCAGCATACGTATACTTCCCTTGATCACAGAGGCACTTTACGGAATCTATTGAAATCGTAGAATGATCGAACTCCATATTAAATTGAATTAACAAAATCTGCACGACGAACAAGGTGTAACACACACTGGATATTCATCCATACGTTGGTCATGCTGACGAATCCAGACCACTACGTGCGATGCCAATGAATCTGGATACTTGGGAAATAATGTAGATATGCTGACAGTTGCGTTTTAAACCTCACTGAGCCATTCGATTGCAATATTCTGCTCCTGCATGCTTCATTCATCATTTTGCATGGATTACTTCACAGTCATTCTGGTCGCTGACCGAAGTGAGCTTAGGAATTCACCTGTTATCGATTATGGCGATTTATCAATGCTTCTTCACATGTTTAACTGGATACTAACTGCTTTGTTGCGCCTCTTGCAGATTATATTGCTGAAAACATCGCTGCCGACAAACTTAAGACGTTTAACAAGCCACTTTTATACACCATATCGACCACATGTAAGGCAGCCTTCAATTGTTGCGCGCGTTTTCGACAACTTCAAACAGTAATAGTACCTAGGATTATATCATATAGATTATATAATATAAATTGTTTTTCCTATGTAAAGTGTGCTTGCTGACATCATTCCATCACATTTCCTTGTGTATATATAGCCTGTGTGAGTGAGTGTGTAAATGTGCATGCTCCATGAATATATTATTTGTCATTTTGATGATGCCTGTAAACTGGCGTCCCTCATGTAAACAAAATGAGGTCCTACTGCAGTCTATCAGAAAGACGTCAGTGGGTTATCTGTTATCCCTTTACTTAATTCAGCCTCCCCCTTCCGTGAGACGTTTTGCAAGTAATAGATGCCATACTGTGCTATGGACATCACGTTGATATTTGCCAGATTTTCCAAGGTAGACTTCTTGGCAATTCTTTCAATTCGCTTATGAATTGGAAAGTCGGTCGTAAGTGAATTGAATTGCCTCTAGCTTCGAGTTGAATTGGAAAGTCAGGAAGGGGAGCTTCCAATGTTAGATTGCAACGTAAAAAGGAAAGAAGATGGGAAGTTAAACACTAGTGTTTACAGGAAACCCACACATTCAAACAGATATTTGGACTTCCGATCATCCCATCTTATGTAAGTGAAAATAGCATTGGTGAAATAATTAAGTGATAGAGCACAAGAACTAGGTAGCACCAAGGAGAATCTAAGAAAGGAAGTGATACATATAAGAGAGGCTTTGAAACTTAGCGTTTCGAAAACTCCCAAAAACCTCTCACAGATTTCAGTACAAACTCAAAAAATCCTATTAATATATGTGTAAAACCTGGACACTGTGGTAGCAAGTAATTCCATATTAGTTTGTCTACTAGATATATCACACAGTGAAACCGTATTATTTACTGGATGACGTTTCGGACAAAATTTATTGTTCATAATCATATCAATTGTAATCACACGACTTTGACACTTGACACACACTTTGACACTCAAGTGTCAAAGTCGTGTGATTACAATTGATATGATTATGAACAATAAATTTTGTTCGAAACGTCATCCAGTAAATAATACGGTTTTACTGTGTGATACATCTAATAAACAAACTAATATGTCAATAATCATGTTTGGGACCCCTTTGGATGCCTCATTCCGAAGGCTCATGTACTAAAAATATTTTTTGGGTTGTGCTGTTGCATTTTGAGCTAGAAGCCTTCCGAACTCCATCAATGATTGACGAGTTCTTTCAACAGCTTTGTTCCTGGTGACCGTGTATAACTCTCTGACGTCAGAGGTCCCAGTGTGATTAACATATTCCAGCATATATACTCACACCTGATTAGTTTAAGAATCTCTTGGTTGATCCTTGGGGGACAATGTTTTCGACCACTTGAGAAGTACTATGTGGTGAAGAGCTGGATTATTCATGCATGAATTTGCTTGGACATGCTCCACGCAGCTACCAAGTGAGACTCTGGGTTTAAGTGCCGGTACTGTGAAAGGACAGCCATTATGCCGGCTTCACAGGCGTTTAGTCGTGCTGGTCTTCAGGCCAAAGACACCGTCGTGGCTGTGGACTTGACAGTACACAATGTAGAGTGGAATATGTTATATAGGGTTCGCATCCTCTGTAAAGACCAAATTATTCGATTATGGTCTGAACACAATAAAATGACTTCTACGTTCTACCGTAAGGCCAACTTCGCTGAAACCCGCTCTTTCGCAAAGCGTTCCGGGAACTGTCGGAAAAATAGTTTTCCATAGTTAAACTGCATAAAGTAACTCAGAATCAAGAAGAAACTTCCCAATGAGTAAAGATCCCCAAGGCTTAGCGTAGAAGTTTTCATGATCATCTTTCATGTGAGCTTCAATGCTTCGCAAGCCTAGGCACTTCTCAAGGCTGATGATCACTTCGCCTCCTTTGCTGCATACTGTCTGCCTTATATAGTGTGAAGTTTGGGGTGTTAACTTCATTCTTCCTGATATCATAAGCCATAATTCGACAACGGCGGTGACATTCGGGTTTTCAGTCTACCATACAATACTGCTCAGTCCGTCTGTTCAACAAATTTTAGGCATTAGTGTGGCATACTTACAGATTAGCTTGATGCTTCCATGGCCCTTCCATAGAGACTTGGGAACCATCAGACTTCGATTTTTTAGGACTGAAATATCCTCAATTACGAGGTTCCTATCACCTTTGAGGCGCAGTTAACTCGAAAACAGTGGCGTAGACGGCCTTTTAATAAGATCTGACAGGAGTAATTTAACACGGACGTAGATTCCTGAGCATTTAGGAGTTCGAAAGTTTCCTAGAGTTGCATCCCTTCAGGATTTTGAGTTAAAAATGACTTTAAGAAGGCTCACCCTGCCAAAATACTAGTCAGACGGTAATAACCTATCTCTTCAGCTCACTCGTGATCTAGAAATCAATTACCCTACGACCTAGTCGTTAGATTTTCACCACTGAGGACTTTTGTTAACTATTAGAGTACAAGTGCATGAAAATATTGTTCTGGATACGAAGAAATTAGGCCTATTCACACTCAGTTACCGTCGCCTGAGGGGGGATTTAATTACTGCCTACAAAATAACAAATGATCAGAATCACCCGAACAAAGGTGTTCTGCCATTGAGTAGGTATAGGCTCCCTCGTGGAAATCCCAGAAGGATAGCTCATCAGAGGGCAAGGCCCCGGGTGCGCTCCCACTTCTTTTCCCTGCGGGTTTGCCGTCCCTGGAATTCCTTACCGGCAGATGTAGCTATGGCACCATCTGTGGACGCCTTTAAGCGAAGGCTGGACAACCTTGCAGTGACACAAGGACTGTATCCAAATGGCCTATCCCCTTAAAATCGCATATACCATTCAAAGATAGACAATTAAACTGGTCGTTTTACTTCTTCACATTCCCTTCAGTCTTACTCTCCTGACAGCTTTAACTACACTTATTATTATTATTGTTATTATTATTATTATCATTATTACTGGTATGTATTATATATATATAATATATAAAGCCCGGTACGTTCGAACCAGGTGACGCTTTTTGCACGTGTTTTCGTTTATATTCATTTATTGCTTACTGTTGATCAATCTTTAATAACGATGGGCCGAAATTCTAAAAAGAGTGTTCGTGTGAACACCAGTAATTTAGAAAATAGCACCAGCTCATCTAATAACACATTACCACCCCTTATTATTAGTAGTTCACCCAACAGAAAAGACTCGAACATAACTCTGACCCCTGTAATACAGGTGGAAGATGTTCTGTCTGAAAAAGTGGAGCTCTCTCCGTATCTCCAAACTGTTAATCTCTTATAAACTAGCAGATTTTTCCAACTTTGCACAGAAATGATTGTATATAAGTGAAAAGGCTGTTTTATACTACTGGAATTAACATTTATCAAGTGTATGTATAATCTCTATCGAACATGTAAAGCATATCTTGCTACTGGCTGTAAATTGTGATTAAATTATATGGTTCTATTTCTGTAACAATTTGATGATGCCTGTAAACTGGCGTCCCTCATGTACTGTACTATGAGAATAAATTTATTTATTTATTTATTTATTTATATGTATACCGGTTGACTGACTGTTGTTACGTTTTCTTATTTTTTTTTCTCTCTGTCTGTTAGTCTGAATACCTTTACTAATTATATCTATTATTATTATTATTATCTCTTTTCCATTGACGACGATACCGAAAGACTAACTGGTGAAAGGATCAACTCCATTCACAGTAGTAACAGTCTTAACACACTTCATACTACAGACGCCATATAATTAATCCCAGCACTACTCCTGTTGGAGTCAACCAAAGCTACGGCAGTCGAGTGGCGGGACGAGCTACACAGACGTTTACCAAAGATACGGAACCTCTACCTTACAATCAAGAGGCGAGCGCAAAGAAATCAAATTGGTTTATACTAGCTCGTAAAAAGATATTGGATATTGGATATTGGACAATCTGGTGGGAGTTTTGTTTTCCAAGGTCAAGACCTTAGACACGCCAATCTGGTAAGTGATCAGTTGTTTACTGTAAGCTTTGACTCATATTCTGTACATTTTGACAGTTTACATTAGTAAGCGATTTCGGACATTTTTGGTATTTTATTCTACCCTGGTGTTGCACATATTTGTCAGAAGTGGTATAGGGTAGTATGCAATAGATCCACCCACGAAATATATTTTGGGATTATATTGTGCAATTGTTTTTAGAATATATGAAAAATTCCGTTTTTGATGTACTTCGACGAAGTTCATCCTAAAATTATCCTGGAACACACCAATTTCAACTCAAATTTGCTAATGTTTTTTGTTAACTAGTGTTAACACTTACTATTCTTCAAAGCATTTATGGTAAAAGGGTACTATGCATGAATTATAAAATTAATCAGTCCAAATAGGCTTAAGTAAGAAGGCATTTACACATGCACAACAAGGATTAATATTAGTTTAAAGACTGATCACGATATACGCACTAAGTCCTATCCGATTATTTTCTCAGTTCTATTTCCATTCCTGCTTAATTGAAATGACCTAATTATCTTCTTGTGAACTACAGTGAGTTCATGTAAATCAAGTGACTTGACTTGTGAGTCAACAAACTTTTAAGAAACTGGTAACTATGTTTCAGAAATATAACATGCTATATATACGTATATATATATATATATTACTGTTTACTGAATTTAATTTATGGTCATGAGTGCAAGATTTGAGCAACTTTAGCGTAGTATCTTCGTTTTATTCATGATACAGCTGGAAAAATTGATGAGCGTGATATAGACATTGCGTTTGAAGATACTGTGGAAAACAAATACAATTTTAGTTTAGTTTCTTGTTAAAAGTCAAGATAAAATTAACTTTTTTCGGAACATTCTGTTTATCCCTTGTTCAAAACAAACATTTGTTTGCCTACTATGTACACTTCATAATTAATAGAATTTCCTACGCATTAATCCACGAATCGTGTTCCCATTTACTTTGACTGCCTACCTGCTCACCATTACAATAGTTGGTCATCCTTTCTGGAAGCTTAGGTAATACTTATCATCTTTCTCAGCATTTCATCTAATGTCTTAATAAGTATAGAGGGAAAGGAGATTAAATCTAAATGTCTTCAAGAATAGTTCCACCGAAAGTTTAGAAGGCGTAAAACTTTTTAAATGCATCAGGTGAATTGTGAGTGGTCGGGTGGGGTTATAAGATACACTGTCAGTATTACGGGATCTCGGAGTAGTAGGATCAACGGCCTACTGTGTCATCATGCCTATTTTTAAACTCTTCACGAGTCTTCATGTCACTATTGTCTATCTCTTTTCATCCTCAACTTTTCTACTTTCATTACACTCCTCATCTCTAGTTTAGTATATGTTCCTCCAAATTATGGCAGCTTGAATAGGCACACTTTTGAGTGGTGTCTTGTGTTGTTCATTTAGTCAGTCTTACAACCATGAATTTGAGAGAGAGTAGATTTTTGCTCGATATATATGCTTTTCAGTAGGTCAAGTGAAAGTTCTGCATTTGTGCTGAGATTTCGTTAGCGAACAGAAGTAATTAGAACTAATGTAAGTGAGAGATCACATCACTATATTTTTTCTAGTTGGAAGTCAGTACCTTCCAAGCATGCTAAACTTATGTTTAGTTCCCCTTGGAACATTCAGCATCTTCAACCAAACGAGCATTTTTTTCAGTGTACTCAAAATTGAACAGCTTATTAACTAGTAAAGACCGAATTCTTGATGAGTGAGAATAGTTAAATACTTTTCCGACAAACACCACCGAATGTTATCATATTAGATTACACACTGTGAGTTCTTATGTCTTACGATGAGTTCGAGCAGGTTGGCTTAATTAGCTTAACTTACTTTTTCATTGATGTCTTCACAACTAGATTTCTTCAACACTTGCCAGTCAACCTAAACAAGTTCTGCTCTCAGTTCGAATAGTATGAAAAGTATGAGAAAACAACCGATACGTTTGTGTTTCTGAAGCTGCAAAGTAAAGATTTTGTCAATCGATTTGTCCCTCCCTGTCTAGGTACGAAACCTACCTATTATTATTGCCATTAAAACAGCCTTGGTACATTATGGGCACCAAGAGATGCTCCACACACAGAGTCTCACAGTTTATGCCAGGGCTGGGCTACTGTCTAGATGACTGGACAGAAGCATTTGGTTTTCTTTAGGAGCCACCCCCTCCGGGAACCTTTAACTTCAAGTCTGATCCAAAAGTGAGTGGAGCAGCATCGTCAGCTACGTCCCCGTGATTGGTGGTGTCTAATGCAAATTCATAAATCATTCGATTCTTTTGGATTCTGGAACCTATGTAAACCATAGGCTTGGAATCAAGGTTTCCCAGTTCCCCTAGGTAGATCTGCATGTCCACCAATGCGGTTGTAAGCGTCAGTTTTCAATTGCCTTTCCACTTTTATAAGGAACACCATGTGAAGTTAGTGAATAGGATTTACCTATCAGAGACTATGAATGTGCATAGTCACGTGAGATCAGTTTGAGAGGAAGATGGAATCTCAGCGTCACACTGGGCTACTGAACTGTGTTATTACCATTTCCTTGGTATAATTTTCTAACCACTTCTCTAATAAAGATTTTTGGGCAACAGTAAAGAAGAATAGGCACAAAAATCAAACGACCTCGGACCAATCAATCATATCCTTCTAGATGAAAGGTGGCATTTATTGTATAAAATGTGTATTTATAAGATATATATATATATAATAAAAATGAATTATATAGGGCATATATCTCTAATATGCTGGAAAAATTGGTCCCAGTTTCTCATATTAATGTCTATAGACATCAAACTAATATCAGTGCAGAAATTCACCTAAGTGGCTGTATGTTATATCATATTGGGAGCCATTTACCATCCCAATTCGGTTTTTAGATGGGGTCAGAATTTTTCACTAATTCAGAAGAAAGATTAACTTTATGATGAATATAGCCTAATAATGATAGCTGCGAATAACTTCTCCACTCGTCTGTGTGAATAGTGTGTAGTGCCTGGGAGGACTAGTCGTTGTTTTATTGGTAATAAAACATCAGCACTTCTGTTTGGGATGCGTCCTCCCAACCCTTTTCGAAGATTTGTATCGTACAGTCCCAGCACCCAAACATGCTTTGCTCTTCTCCTACTGCGGCCATTAATTTTTCGTTTAATAAGTACTGCGTCATCAGTATGAACGACGACAGCAGTTATTCCAAGCACAGAAGTAATTCCAATAACCTTTTGTGAGGCAGTATCCTGACAGTACTGATACCACTGCACTGTTAATATTTTAGTATTCTCTGTTTCCGCAGCTGTAGCAGATGGTACTGGTAGTCTCAGTAGCCAGTTGTGGCAAATACACAGTTTTAGTAAGGCACAGTTTCGATTTCGAGAAGAAAGTATCTAAAAAATCACCATACTGTACAACTTACCAACTCTTACAGACTACTTCCTCCTATGACAGTGATTGATTGCATTTGAATACATAACCATGAATACTCCGGCAATGCTTCCGAAGAGTCATTATCCCTCCTCCACATATGTATGTTTTAGTCCTCTCTATCAACACATTTTCCACACAGAAGTCAAAAACCAAATCTGGGTGAAACCTGCAACGAAGATTATGAGCAGTATTGACTTGTAACGCTGATTGATCTAATTGGTTGGTTCTCAAGATCAATTGACCTCGATATCTATTATGTACTGTTGCCGATTTTTGCACACTAAATTCCTTTAACGATTTTTGTCTGCCTGTGTTATTTTTAACCCCTAGGTTGTACGCATATGCTGACGTCGATAATTTCAACGCCTTCTTGATCATGTCTTGTGATATTATTGAAACTCCTAGTGATGATGCTAATCCAACTGTGGATAACGTGATTGGTGGCTTTACAATAATCGGTGAGAAGACCAAATCAAAAGTATCAAATGTAAGTAGAGCACTAATTTTTTTTTATTTTGACCTGGATTTGTATTTTTTTAAGAACACAATATTCAGCTAAGAGACTTTTTTCAACGAATTTATTATCTGATTGATTAACTGACTGGCTTCAACTTAGAACTTTGTACAGATGTGCAGCAGGTCGAGTTGTCACTCTTCCTCCATGTAGCACACAGAGTAAGAGGAGAAAGTAAAGAGAGTAACACCAGAAGATAGATAACAAGCAATAGTGTAAGGAAAAAAGAATAGAAATGTCGAAGAACAATGGAATTTTCTTAGATATGATAAATCAAAAACAATGAATGAATGTATCTGCGCCACTGAGAACGATTTTGAACCATATCACCGATTGTCTCCAGTCGCTGATGTTTACTATCCCAAGGACCCCAACCAGTCAAGAAGCCTACACCTCCCCACGTGGCTTAAACTAACTGTTGTGGATTTGACTGAATGACTGACGAAGCCATGTTTTGGTTTGATCCCCACTAGCTAACTCTTTTGCAACTTGGCTAGGCAGGTATGTGTAACACATGTCGTAAACGTCTCCATCAATGTAGCTGCTTCACAACCTCGTTTGTTGATTTACTCTCCCACTCGACCGAAGGCTGACCTGAATATTTCTCACCCCATCATGCCGCTTAACATGGGAGATGATAAAAGACGGCTCTCCGGCCCTTTCATATCTTCCACTTTCAACGGCCATGTCTCACTCACAGCCATAAATTAGGAGGACGGAGTGAACTGGTGTGCACACATGTCCGATTGATAATCAGCTGAATATCACATCTACAAATCCAGAGATGGAGTGAGTTGGCAAATGCTCAAGGAATATATTACCAAGCTGTACAATCGTATATGTATATTTTTTAATATATTAAGAAATTATATCTCGTGAGGAAATTTGAACAAAGGTGTGAATACTCAACATAATAATAGTAGTATGAAATGCAATTGAAATTAAAATGTTTGTGATTATAATCATAGTTAAATGTCAAATAGCAAAACAATTAATGTCATATATAAAATAATACATAAGCTGTATAGATGTTGGAAAGGGGTACACAATTATAGGATTAGTAGGCGAATAAAAATTGTTACCTAACATGGTGTGAGATTTGATAAGATAGTATTCAATACTGTAAAAATATTTTGCATTTAGAATGACAAGTGGGACGAGCGGAAACAATTCAGAGTGAGAATAGTAATAATAGTAATAACAATAATAATAATAATCGTACTAATGAGGGTAAGGTACATAGAATAGCTAAATAAACAAAATAAATAAAAAAGTGTCTATCCCTCTACGGCCAAGGCAGAAGTAGGGATTGTAGATACTTCTTTTGTACACAAATGTCTGGCTTAAATTCATGAATTACCAAGGCCTCCACTGTCTTCAGAAGTCTGTATCGAAGAAAACGCGTCAAGTTAGCATGGATTCGGTAGATGATCTTAAAACCATGGTCAGAGTTGGTAGAGTGACAGGAGTCGATCAGGTGTTCTAGAATAGCGCTTCGCACACACTTCCTTTCTCCTTTGTTATCCCATGCTGGAATATGTCCGCGCATCCGTGGGTGGAAAGCGTTCTCTGGCTACTGCCAGTGTCCCTTGTTCGACAAAAGCAGATGAACTGATAGGTGCACAAAAAGGCGGTCAGACAAGGGACCTTATCTTTTACAGAGATGGAGAACAACTTACGGCTGGTGAAGGTCATTTATAATTTCAAATTCATGAATATGCTTTTCTTTGAAAGTGAATCAGTGACCTATCTGAACCGCTTATCTATCGCGTTTTTATAAACAAATTGGTTGGGGTAACCGTTTTTTATGCGACCGTGGCTTTTTGGGAAGGAATGTTCTAAGTCAACGCAGTCAGAACTACTACAAATGTTTCCTATCCTCAAACACAGTCAGTGAATTAAGTTCCTTTTTCATCCTGGAGATAAGTGGCACCCAACTATAAAAATTAGTTACTTATCCATTCCATGTACATTTCCGGTGTGGATGGATCCTTTCAAAGATCATTCGTTATATTGCGTCTACTGAGGAGAGGCGCACACACATCAAGAAAGGGAATGCACTTCGTCCAGCTTGATAATAAATTCGTTATTGTAAAGGAAAGAATCTTTTCATTGAATATTGTATTCTTATAATGTTTCACTGAGAATTATTCAATTATTGTACGTATTTTTTGGTTTGTTTGCTTATTTTTTTCCTGTTAAAGGTCAAAGAAGTCCTCCCATATTGGATTACAAATTCAGAAAAATTTCCAGCTGATTTACAGCACAGTCATCCTATCAGTGATAAAGTATTAAAGATTAATTCAGCTATACAATCGCGTCTTTATGAAATGGGCATTAGTCAATTATTTCCTGGTAAGTATCTTGGACTTATTCTCTCTTTTGATCTCTCCTGGTCTTCCCATGTCTCAGCGATCTCCAGTAAAATATTCCGCCTGACATTTTACATTAAGAAGTTAAGGCACTCGGGTATAATTCAACCCCTCCTCCTCTTACAGTTCATAAACTCTTGCATCGTACCTATTCTTCTTTATTTTTCACCCTTATTCTTTCCTGGTTTGCTTAAAAAGGACTATGTCACAATTCGTAGAATGCTGAAGACTGTCAGTAGGATGAGTGGTGTCTCAGTGGACCACATAGTTAACGTCGTCAATAGGCATTTGACTTCGTGCAATAAATTTGCTAAAGGGATTTTGTCTGACTTGGAGCATCCACTTCACCCTCAGCTTTTACCTTGCATCTCCTCAGGTAGAACAAGAATTAACTTCAGAAAACTGTATACTCGCACATCTAAGTGTAGAAATTCTATGATACCATACTTGGTACGTATTTTATGTGATGAAAATAGCGTCAGGCAAGAAGTGACCAACCTTTTTTCATCTAGTAAATAAACAATCTCCTCCATCCATCCATCCTTATATACCTTCAAGTTTTACTTTTATTACTTCTATTATATTTATGGTCCTGTTGCTGCTTGTTTGTTTTACTTTCATAATTGCAAACACCAACTTATCTCTATGACTGCTGTAATCTTTGTTTTTTTCCCTCACCATATCATGTAAAGAGAACATTATATTCAATATTTTTAAACATGCTAGGATTTCTATACCGCATCGACAATACTGTGTGTGCGATTTTGCACTTGTATTATTATTATTACCTTAGCTAGAGAACCATTGAAAACCAGGGAGTACTGGACAGCTGCTGTTTCATCCTAGTTTGGGAATCATCGGCAGTACGCACCCACTGGGATTCGAACCCGTGACCTTCCGGTTACAAGGCAAGCTCGTATACCATTCAGCCACTGGGACCCGATTCAATGGCTCATGAATTCTAACTTCTACGAGCTTGCCTTGTAACCGGAAGGTCACGGGTTCGAATCCCAGTGGGTGCGTACTGCCGATGATTCCCAAACTAGGATGAAACAGCAGCTGTCCAGTACTCCCTGGTTTTCAATGGTTCTCTAACTGATATCAGTCCGTGATCAACTCGTAAAACATAACTAATCCTTACAAACCAAACTATAGAAAATTATTCTGATGCTCGCTAGTGACTTGCTACAGGTTGGAGTTTCCTGGAGTTCTAGTGAGAAGTCGTGACCAGTGAGGTCCAATTAGAAGTCACGTGTGGATGGATTTCCACCGACGACATTAGTTGGGGTCGCGCTAAAATCACGAATTGGTAGAAGTTAGAATTCATGAGCCATTGAATCGGGTCCCAGTGGCTGAATGGTATACGAGCTTGCCTTGTAACCGGAAGGTCACGGGTTCGAATCCCAGTGGGTGCGTACTGCCGATGATTCCCAAACCGGGATGAAACAGCAGCTGTCCAGTACTCCCTGGTTTTCAATGGTTCTCTAACTGATATCAGTCCGTGATCAACTCGTAAAACATAACTAATCCTTACAAACCAAACTATAAATATTACCTTAGCTGTTATCATTATTATTTCCATTTTATATGCTGGATGTTTTTGACATTACCCCTATTGTAAATGTAGAAAATTTTCTGTGTGATTAATTTTATTTATAATTTGAGGAAATTAGATGCAATATTATTGTGATTAATGCTGTAAATTCCATTCTGTATCACAAGTACTGTTTTTGGAATAAAGTAAATCATTATTATTATTATTATTATTATTATTATTATTATTATTATTATTATTATTATATCTAAAGCTTATTTCACCTCTTTTATTTAATCATAGTTCAATACGCAGTGATTCCTTACATAATGAACAGTTATTTCACATCTAACTGCCGACCATTATGTCGTCCAAGAGATATATGTATATGTGCACCAACCGGAAGTGGTAAAACCCTGGCGTATGCAATTCCAATTGTTCAAGTAGGCAGTTGATATTTTATTTATTTACCCTCTGTTCATTGTTAGTTACTTATGCACAGAGTACATCAATTCATTCGAGCACTAATCATTGTTCCAGTAAGAGATTTGGCTGTACAAGTGTATAAAACACTTAATCAACTTATTGAAGGAACACATATCAAGGTTTGTTAAAAAAATATTTTATATATTATTCAAATAAATTAACTACTTTAGGTTGCTCTTCTCGCTGGTATTCAAAGTTTTACTAAAGAACAAGAAGAGATTATTGATTCGTAAGGTTTAAAAAAATTTTCCAAATTTTGTAATTTTATGTAAATCTGTTTATTTTTTGTATTTTATAGGTCAACGGATAATCCTATTGTTAAAGTGGATATTGTTGTCGCAACACCTGGACGTTTAGTGGATCATTTGTATAATACTTCGGGTTTTAGTATGGAACGTTTACGAATTTTGGTAGGTTTAGATGTTATAAGAATATAGGTTTTTATATATATATATATTCACCAATCATGGACGTGTCTTGGGGTTTAATCCCCGATCGAAGCACTCCTAAATCTAAGTATAAAACTTGGCCACTGTGGTAGAGTATAACTCAATTATAGATAAGATTTTATTTTGATAAAGGCTCACACAGTGTTGTACAGTAATATTAACTGATGACCACCTTTCGAACACAAATTATTGCCACTCATAATCATATCAAGGCACTACTCACACACCTTTCTTGCTTCATTTATATACATGAGTAAACATTGATGCGACTAGACATTTGAATATAAACCAGTATAAGATAGTGTACATTCAGAAACAATAATATTAAGCACACAGTGTACAGTAGTATCAATTGATGACGTTTCGAGCACGAACTATTGCTCATAATCATATCAAGTTGATTTATCAAAATAAAATCTTATCTATAATGGAGTTATACTCTACCACAGTGCCCAAGTTTTCTACTTATATAATAATATTAGTGTTATCAATCAAATACAGTTAGATGGGAATATCAAAAAAGGTCAAAAAGCAAAATAAAATTAATTGTGGAACTAACAACAACAGCATAAGTAAAGATACAATCTAAGGCATCTACAGTTATACCATATAAGGAGGGCACACCTGAGGCCCTACGTAGGATTTTCAACAAAGCAGGAATTAGGGTGACACTTAAACCTACAAACTCACTCAGGGACGACAAACTCTGTAGGTTAAAGGATTCAGTTGACCCAATTAAACAAAATAATATAATTTACAAAATACCTCGCAATGACTGTGAGTTAAGTCAACTACATAGGCCAAAATAGTAGATCAGAAGTAGTGAGATTATCAGAACATAAGAATTTAACTAAGGTTAGAATGATTGATTCCACGAAGATGAATAATTTAGAAAGGAGCTTAGCACTACATGGCACTGCACGCATTAACACACAATAAGGTGGAAGAGAGTTAAAATTCTAAGAAGTAATATAGGTAGGTGGAGAGAGAGGTTGATTACTGAATTCTGCCTGGTTCATCGAGTCTACACCCAACACAACACATGCAACAGAAATGACTCAATGCAAATACCAGAGATATGGAAGATATTATTACAACCAGTCAAATCAGAGGATAATAAATAATGTTAAAATGTGTCTCAATTCACATTATAACATTCTAACAAGTTACTTATTTATTTTACTATAAAAACATTATTTCCCATCTGATTGTATTTTATTGATAGCATTAGTCAGTAGTACAACTGGACCTCGTCTTTCCAACTCATACCATTTATAGGTACAACATTTTCTTTCTTTCTTTTCCTATTCTCTCTCTCTTTTTCCGTTATGTGCTACTTTGTTTCTTTCTTCCGCTTACGCCAGTAAATATGACAGCACCTACTTCTTCTAACACCTTCAAACACTGTTCAACTTTGGCCTTGCTACTGACATGCCAATATGTTGTTGTCATAATGAACTGAGATTTCCTTAATCTAAGTGGAATTCTATTTATTGATGATGTACTAACTGGATGCAATACTGTAGTAAAAATGCTGAGAATTCCATTCTGTATCGCAAGTACTGTTTTCGAATAAAGCAAATTATTATTATTATTTCTGAATGTACACTATCTTATACTGATTTTTATTCAAATATCTAATCAATTCCACTCATGTTTATGAATGAAAGAAAAAAGTTGTGTGAGTGACTTGATATGATTATGAGTAGCAATGATAAATTGTGCTCGAAGCGTGGTCATCAGTTAATATTACTGTACAACACACTGTGATTTATCAAAATAACAAATCTTATCCATAATGGAGTTACACTCCGAAATCTCTCTTCGTCGGTAGTAATTCCGGCAAAGAGGATAATTTGGGCATGAGGTTAGCTACCACATCATCCCGTAAAGGAAAACTTCAAATTTGCTGGAACTTCAAAGCTCTGTATGAATTTATTCCAAAAGAAATTCAGGACGTTAATCGAACAATTAATAAAACCAAACGCTGAGTGACGCGTTTAATCCGAGAACACAGAATTTTTCTAAAATATTGTACTATATTAAACATTAAATATGAAATATGTTATACAAACCTAAATTGTGAGGTGTCTGTGGCTGATTGCCTTCAAAAAGCACAGTCAATGTGCGTCAATAGGTAAAAACAGCAGATTTGTCTAAAAAGACGATCCACGAGTTATTTAAACAGTGCACGAATGCCAGAAACAAAATAAAGGTCTGCGGATAAACAATGTTCAGCAGCGATGGGTACGCGAGTGACTCATATACAGCAAATAATGTTTGATTATAAGAAAATAATTATTATACATCCAATAGATTGGTAATAAATCGTGTGAGTTAAACCTCGATACCAAAACATGGTTAAGAATTAGCAAATACAACTTACACTACTTACTAAATATAAGTGGTATAAATTTAACACGAAAGAAGGAATGGTTGAATACATGTAGTGAAATCTCTTAGATCTATTGTGACCTGTGCTACTGACAAGATTTATCAGTAGTATGTAGACGCAGACTGACAGGAAGTAGCCAAAATTGTAAACAACATTTTAATCCAATGGCTGTAAAGTTAGCAGTATGTATTTATTCCTCAAATCCGAATTTAGTTTACGTTGTGGCCCCGAAATAATCTCATTGGACAAATTTTTTTATCTCAAGATTTAACCCTTAGAAAATCGGCAACCAATCAGAACAGTTAATTATCCTCTGACGTAGCCACCGACCTTAAATATGGCTAAAATGTATAAACATTGTGTCCTTCGTTAATAAAGAAGTCCCGTTACCAAGTCTCTTGTCTTCTCCGATCACTGAATTCCATCGAATACAGTGAATGTGTGATCGACAGACAGACTTCGTAACGTGTAGGTCCCAGATCCAACGGTTGGTGATGTCACCACTACGCACTACTGAAGAGTTCCATACTAGAGTGAAATAGACGTCCAGCAGTGCTTCTTGATTTTCATTGGTTTTCTAACTGATGATACCTCGTGGTAAAATCTACAGCGATGTTGACAAACCATCAACAAAGGATAGTTTAAGGGTTAATTAGGCGATATTCAATGAATTCATACCAATAGATGTGAGGCTGCGTATCTGTTTTTGATTTAGTTGTGTTCTTTGGGCTGGTTAATTTTATTGCAAAGCTTTTTTTGACCACGTCTTCAGCGCAGGTTTTTGTATGAGATGAACTTATTTGAATTCCCCATGAATGATATAACTGTATCTTCCGACAGACAACCATTGTCGTTACTGATTTACATCTTTGTTGATCATTTTTATTGACTTGGAATTCGAACTTTTTTGTCACATGTGATTTACTATTTATTAGCTGGTAAATTTCGTCTATAGTAATGTGTTTGTTAATTGCTAATTCTTCTGAGTACCAGGCTTCTAGAAATTCCCTGGTAGTACTTTTGGTGTTGCCTCTGTTGAAAATGTGTACATTCTCCCAGTCGAATTGGTATCCGTGATTGTCTACACATTCATTGACATGAAAGAATGCATATCGTATGCCTTCATCACAGCTAACTTCCGTTCTTGGATTCTGATTCGAAATGGGGACTCCCACTTTGACCTATGTAGTGTTTATCGCAATTCATGTAATTTATTTTGTAAATGGTATCGTTCTTATGTTTTGTTGTTCTGTGGGTCTTTTGGTGTACACAATATTGAATGAAGTGATTGTGTTGGTTGGTTTGTGTTCTGTACTTATTTCAAACGGTGTTAGTATTCTAGCCGTCAGTTGTTTCAGTGATACTCTTGGTATATATGGTAGAGTGGATTTTCTTGTGGTCTCTTTAATGAGTTGAAACACTTTTTGATGCAATTGTATCTGTTCCTTGTGATAAACATCATACAGTCCTATTAAAGACATTGGTTCGGCCGAGGATCGGTAAACTTTGGTCTTCTTGTCGAAATGTCCTCATGTACCCCTGCGTCTGTAGCCTCTGTTAGATTAAATCCCACTCACTGCTTTCACACGGTACGGGTGTTCTTCACAAAAGTGAAAGGGCAAATAAAAACGTTTGACGCTTGCAACCGGATTGGTGAATATGTAGGTCTACCTGGGGGACATAATTCAAAACCTACATGTACATGGGCTCTAGAATCCAAACCTATCAAATAGGTCACCGAGGTCCATGGGGACGGAGCTCCTGACACTGACTTTTAGATTAGACTTAAAGTCAAAGGTTCAGGGGAGAGGTGGTTCCATAAGACCACCATTGGCTTCGATTTGGGCGGCCCAGCAGTATCCTAGCCCTCGCAAAACCTACCGACATTCGAATCCACGACCTTTTGGTAACTCCTTGGGACCCGATTCAATGGCCACCCCATCAATTCCAACTCGTGCCAATTCACGATATATCGCAGCTGTCGCTAGTCAATGTCATCGCTGGCGAGTATTTGTCCTCACTCCCGACCGGATCGGTTGACTGCGCTGGTCACGATTTCTCAGCAGAACCCAGGTAACTGCCTACCTACATAGAGAGCCAGTCACTAGTGGATAAACAGATTAATATTCAATTGTCGCTTTGCAGGGATTTAACTAGTGACAGGATTTCATCATGAGGTGGCATCGGTTAGAGAACCATTGGAAAATCAGCACTAAAGTACTGGACAGCCAGCTGTTTCGTCCCACTAGTTTGTGTGGCACACTTTCTTGATGTCTATAATCCGTTAAGTTTTTGTTTTTAATACTATTCATACATGATATTGTTAGTATTTATTCCTGTAATTGAAAAATATCCGTTTGTTCAACAAAGACGATTATTATTATTACTATTATTATGTACTTTAGGTGATTGATGAAGCCGATCGTGTTATTGTGGAGGAGAAACAAAATTGGTATCGTACACTAGAAGACGCCTTATATTATTATACATCATTGAATAGTCACACTAACTCGACCTCCAGTATCACTGGTCGTAAACGATGCCGACCAATTCCAACGATTGGTTATCATTACGATAGAAGTACTGATATTACACTACAAAAGGTTAGTGTATGCGACTTGGTCTATATTTACATTTCTCTTGTGGACTCTGGACTTACAGTGTGTACACTTTTTGATTTTTTCTTTGACTGACTGAATGACTGACTGGTTTCAACAGAGAACTTTGCACCGATGTGCATCAGTTCGAGTCGCCACACTCCCTCCATGTAGCACACAAAGCCAGAGAAGAAAGTAAAAATAAAATGCAAAATAGAGACAGTAAACAGAGATATAAGGCAAAAAGAATAGTAATATCGAAGAACTATATAATTTAATTGGGTACCATAAGTCACAAGGAGTGGATGCTTCTGCACCATTGACAACGAAGATTTTGAGCCATATCACCAATTGTCTCCACCCATTGGTGTTTACCATCCCGAGCACACCAACCAGTCAGGAAGTCTTTACCTCCCTACGTGACTGGCTGGCTGAAACTAACTGTTATGATTTGATTGACTGATGAAGCCACGTTTTTGGTTCGACCACCACTGGTTCTTTTCCAACCTGATCCTGTGTTAGCTAACATTGCCTGCTGTCGAGGAAGGTAGTGGCTAGGCAGGCATGTCTAACATATGTCTTAGCCATCTGAATCAATATAGCTGCTTCACAACCTCTTTGATGTTCCCTCCCACCTACCTAGCACTTGATTGAAGGTCGACCTCAATATTACTCACCGTATTTCGCCACCTAACCTAGGAGATAAAACGCAGGCACCTATGATGAAAGACAACTCTCCCGCTTTTCCATGTCTTCCGTTTTCAATAGCCATGTCTCACAGTTATAAAGGAGAATGGAGCGAAATGCTGAGCAGTACACATGCTCTTTGATTGACGGCCAGTCAGATATCGTGTCTACTTCTGAGACGGCGTAAAGATTAGTAAAGATTATTTTAAAATCAAAACTACCGTGTCGTCATTAACAAATACCGATTGTAATTAATTAAGCACACATGAGTCAATTGCAGAGAGACCTCCTCTTTCCCTAACTTCATTTCAAAGTTGTACATTAGTGTCAAAGGGACGATATAGAACGTGGAAAGTTTTAAATGAGGATTCGTTTAGGTGTAGACAGAGAGACGAAGATAGAATAAAACGCCTTTCGTATACAAAGGTTAGGATTGTTCTCTCGAGTTTCCATAGCTTCGGTTATATGTATAAGGCGGGTTCAAAGCGTTCGATGGAATGCAATGGATAACTTTGAAAGCACTTCTTCTGTCCACACTTGGTGACCGCTACCAATCAAATGGGACAAAATAGAACTTCTTATAGATTCTGACTTAATAATGCAAATCCATTACTCACCTACCCTCTACCGATCAATATATGTGTACCACTGAATAATAATAATAATAATCACTTTATTCGAAACAATAATAATAATTATACAGAATGGAATTTTCAGCGTTTTTATACATATTGCAACAATTTGGCTCCTTTCATAAATATATAATAAATACATAAAATTGTGAAAAATTTTTTTAAAAAGACCACAAAAAAACTTAAGCTAACTGCTTGCAAGAATTGAAAAGCCTATCAACAGTAATTAGTCAGTTAGCTGAGTCAAAGGCACACCACTAAGCCCACTTACAGTCTCCAGTGTTCTACATAATATGATATGCTCTTTTTTGAGAAGTCCAGGGAATAATGAGCCGTGGGGGGAGGGAAGAACAATAAAGAAGAATAGGCAGAATACATGAATTAATAAATTGTAAGAGAACAGGTAAGGTTAAGTTATGCAGTAGGAAGTCTCAACTTTTTTATGTAATAAGTTAAACGAAAGATTTCCTTAAAAATCAACGACCAGCAGAGATTCGAAGAGAAACTGATGCCCAGATGAGAGATAATCGATTTACAGGAATCATGCGACTGAATCAGTCCACGCAAGCCTTGTACGCATCTGGAACTAAAATCAACAATATGACATTTAGATGGATTCATTTTAAGACCATTTCGGTGATACCATTCGTTAACTTCAGGTATGAATCTATGTAAATGAGAACAATCCAAAGCAGAAACTACTGATTCAGAAATTGTTAGATCATGAGTATATTTTATGCAATCAGCTTTGGAGGAATATGGAAGGTCATGCAAAAAGAATGAAAAAAGGAATACAGAGAGTAAAGCACCACTGAGGCACACTAGTTTCCGTTAGCAACGAAGTGGAGCACTTTCCATTTAAAACAGTATGTTGTTTTCTACCTGAAAAATAGGAAGCCAGCCGGCCACTTTGCGACCCAAGACTCGGTGTATGCTGAAAGCGACTTGCTTAGTAAAAGTGGCCTAGGCATAGAGTGAAAAGCATCAGTGTAGTCTAAAAAGGAGACTAGAACAAACTTTGCGCCTTCTAGTCAAGATTTAAAACAGTATTGTAGTGGAGTACAACGACAGCATCCAAAGTGCTTCTACTGCACTTGTAAGCAAACTGCTGCGATGAATTTGGTGTTCATGGGTGACATGGAGAAGATCATGTGAGGAGGAGGGGGGAATGAAAGATTGTAGGCAATCATAGAGCCGCCATCTAATAAAAACTACACAGGGTACGGTGGAATGAAGATGTGCTTTTGAAGCCTACCGTTCCACTGGGAACCCAAGGGACGGACAATTATAATGATACTTAATATTCAAATTTTGGTATGCATGGATTTGATTGGTTACAGGATTTCATCATGGACGCACATCAATTAGAGAAACATTACAAAACCAGCTGAGAGTACTGGGCTCTCTAGCAGCACACACCCACCAACAGGGTTCCAATCCAGTACCTCCTGGTTACAAGGCGAGCTCGTAGACCATCAAACCACTGGGACCCGGCCCAATGAACAGCACCTGAATTCCAACTTTTGCCAATTCAGGACATAATGCGATCACTAGCCAGTGTTATAGGGTGCGAGTATTCGTCCTCACACCTAACGTGCTGCACCCCACTGGTTACGACTTCCCACTAGAACCCAGGTAACTACCTACCTAAATAGGGCCAGTCCCTCGCTAGCGAGCATCAGATTGCACAACCAAGTCACCCTAGCTATATTAAGGTTTCTTTTTTCAAAAGGATAGACACGGAACAAAGAGTACTCTTTTCGATAAATTCATCATCAGGCTCTACAGTTATATATACATTATAGTCAATGAATGAATTAGTGTTATGAAACAACATTAATGTTGTTTAAATAACATCGAATCAATAATATCAATAGATTACGGTTAAATAGCATCAACATAACAATAAACTGAATGTCAGAAAAATTAGGAAAGATAATAGCACAATTTCATGAATTTATAGTCTCTACTGAAGGCGGGTGAGGACAGTACTAGGGGCTGGACTTGTTTCTTTTGCTCACAGAGCACTGGTTGTTTGAGGCGAATTACAATAGCCTTTGCTGTTTGGAGTATGCTGTGCTTCCATGATTTTGGCAATTTATTAGGCACTCGGTAGATGATAGCGACGTTTTCTTCAACGCTGGTTTTGTGATCGGTTTGCACCAGATGGTCCGATATCGAACTGTTGATGGCTTTCGCCACACCTTTATTTAGTTGCACTGGGAGATGTTCTCGAGTGAGCACGAAAAATCAAGTTCCTAGAGCAACGGCCGATATAACTCGCTCCATAAGCGCAGTTGAATTGGTAGATACAATGTAAAGTGGCTAGTCTGGGTACTTTATCTTTCAGTCGAGGAATCACCATCGGTCGTGTAGAGAATCAGAGGTGTAGTTCGTCAGCATTGAAAGTTCTTTGAACTGACTTTCTTAACTTCCTCGTAATTATTTCACTTGGTACATCGCCCTTGAATTGCAGTCGTATATAAAGAGGCTTCTTGCTTCCGGATAGTGAGTTGGCCTTCTCAGCTTTCTTTGTCATGTGTTTCTTGATAAATTTTTCGGGATAGCTATTTTCAATCAAGGTATCATATACAATGCCTTATTCACCTTCATTTACTTCTTCTGAGCATATAGCTCTAAATCTGTGTCTGAGGGTCATTCCTTACTAAATTTCTTTTGTACTGCAGAGGAATGAAGCTGTGAAAATGTGTGTATATTGTCCTGTCTATGTACTTTTTCTATGCTACCATCTGGTTTTCTTGTAAGAAGAAGGTGATGTGTAGGGGAGGTACATTCAACTGTGTCTTATTTCTCTCTTCTTCTTTCTCGCTTTTCAAAAAAACAACAACACCAACTTTAGATCCTTGTTTCAGCCACATTGACGCATGATCCAGAACCATTGAAACAATTCAATCTATACTTTCCTATTTTATTTCGATCAAGTCAAACAGATTCTTCGCTTGTAGAAAATAAGATCATTCAGTCTACACTGGAAGAAGAAGAAGTACATGATGGAAGTTACACAACGGAAAATAAGAAGAAGAAAAAGAAGAAGTCCAAATCACTCAAAGACGGTGAAGAAACAACAATGAATGGTATCGATTTGGTGGAGACAAAAGACAATAAGCACACAGCAATAGATACTACACTTTCTAATTATGTTGTTGTTGATGATGATGGCGGTGTTGGTCAATTTTTTATTCCACAGAACTTGGAGGTAATTATTTTTTCTGAGTGCAATCAAATATGCGTATTTTCACTAGTGTATAATTGCTTTTGTGACTGACTGTTTTCAGCATGTGCAGCAGTTCGAGTTGATAGCTGCTACCTTGACGTGGTGGTTGGGCTTGCACTTCACAATGACCCAACAAGCTACACTGGCTGGAACTATTGTTCCTTGCAGGTCCTACCATTTCAAGAAGATTGTTAAGATAGCGATTAGACTAGGAGCAGTTACTGGCGTTGTGTGGGATTTTTTACACTATGCTGGGGGTCTGTGGGCGAAGACATACTTCTGGAGAAAAGGGATTTAACAGTAGGAAGGTGTTTCCCTCAGATGACCACCATGGTAGCTGTGCTGCCTCTTCACTCGAGAGAAGCGTTAGAAAAGGTCGACCCCGAAAACTGTACATCCCGACTTACCCTACGGTGGTCCGTAACCGGCGGTAAGTTTACTAATAGGGAACCGAATCAAGAAACCAGTTCATACAGGGTGTGTGTGACCGGCGTCAAGCAGTTGTCCCTTGGGCTCTGTGGTCACACAACACTAACCCTCTTTATATTTCAACCACCCGAATACTCAATCAACTTCCACGGTGTGGGCAGCCGGGAAGTAACAACCGCCCACACACCTCCAAGAGCACAGGGCGCCTTCTTGAGCATCATTCTCCTTCTCATATTATTATGAGCAATTATTTTATGCTCGAAACGTCGCCATCAGTAAATATTCCTGTACAACACTGTGTGATTTATCAAAATAAAATCTTATCCATAATGGAGTTATACTCTACCACAGTGCCCAAGTCTTATACTTATATCGACACGAAGCCCTCCTGAACATCAACCTCCCAATTGGTTTTATACCATTCTTTTTCCTCATAGCTCATCTTTAAATACCAAATTTCGCTGAATATTTTAAGTCATGTATAATTCCCATTAAGATATATAGAAAATTGAAACAATTGATTCAGCGAAAAGACTCTACAACGAATTTATTATTATTATTTACTAGTTCGGTAGTTTTCTATTAACCAATAAGTCCCGGCCTGGGGCTAGCCACCCTACCCCGGAAGATCAGTCCAGTCGCTACACAGACACTTTAAAGCACAAGGAGAAAATATGAAAAACAAAAACTTTTTGTTTTCTGGAATTGGAGAAGCGAAATGGTGCGGGCTGGTGGTGAAAGCCTTCGGAAAGCCAATCAGTCAGCCGATGTGTATACTTTCGATCAAAGTAAAATTAAGCGATTGGGACGTGGAATATTCGTACAATGTACGACTCTGGGAAGGCTGCCCAGGTTGCCGAAGAAATGACAAGATATATATATATATATATCATTAGAATTACTTTCCGATATGTATGACTGATAAATAGATAAACTGCGTTGGATCAGTCATGCAAATCGACTGATGTAAATGTTTTTCAGATCATGTTCAGATAGATAAAAGGGAAGGTGGTATGAGAGATTAAAATTAAAATAGCAATGGATTACTGTTAAGTTTCACCACCAAAATAAACAGTTAGTTATCAGGGAGAGTGAGAGAGAACTTGAAAATGTTAGAAAGTGCAAACTTGTTATATAGACTTAACTTCCCTAAATTACTACATTTATCTCTCTCTATATTGCTGGTTGTATTTCCCTCTCCTCACTTATGACCTTAGGATACTATTGGTTGTTGACTGCCTCAATTTATTAATGCCATTGGTGCTCCAATTATGAAAAAAATAGGCAGGAAGAAATGGAGATGGATTGGCCACACTCTGAGGAAATCATCAAGTGACATCACTAGACAAGCCATTGCTCGAGTGGAACCCGAAAGGGAAGCGGCGAGTTGGTCGTCAGTGTGAGGGTGACTTGGAGGAGGTCATGTGAAGAGGAGATGAAAACGTATAGGCAGACTTGGAGCCAGGTGAAGACTCTAGCAGAGAACCGAACGCAATGGAGACGCACGGCTGAAGCCGTATGTTCCTCTAGGAATTAAAGGAAACAATAATAATAATTGGTGCTCCAAGGTCACTTGAAGCATATTTATGTGTATATGCAAGTGCTGTGAATCATTTTTGCCGTTCTCTTCTTGTCTTCTCGCGTTGCAGTTTCGGTGATAACGTGTCTTTGTTGTTGCTAATAGTGTTTAGAACAGTAGGCTCGCGAATCCACTAGATAGGAAATTAGGTAGAGCAGCTACCAAGTGTATTAACGGTCATATCAAATCTGAATTATAATAATAGTAATAATAATGAAACCAGTTAGGGTTATGGTACTGACAAAAGATCATTTTATATGAGTAAGCAACAGTTGGTTGTGTGGACAAATACTCACCGATGACGTTGACTGGTGGTTGCGCTATCTATATATTGTGAATTTGCAGAATCGAGAATTAATAGACTACTAGACTCCGTCCCAGTAGCTGTCAATGGTCTACAAGCTCGCTTTGTAACTGGAAGGTCCTGAGTTCATAGGTACGTACTATTGAAGAGTCCCGAGAAAGGACGAAACACTTGTGTAGTGCTGCCTGGTTTTCAACGATTCTCTAACTGGATTCAGTTATGCTAATCAATCTTAGTTTTATTAGTGTGTAATCGTTTACTGTGTTGTGTTTCCCCCTAACCCCTTATTATTATTATTATTATTATTATTATTATTATTATTTTAAAGGAATATCTAATCACAGCGAAACCGGATATACGTGTGCTATTTCTTGTCTATTTAATACGTCAAAAACACAAATCACGTATTCTATGCTTTACAAATACAGTGAATTGTGCCAAGCGCTTAAATCTGCTGTTGTCTAATTTTCAAAATATACACAGTAAATTTCTGTCGAGTAATCTGCACCCAAATAAACGTCAACGTATACTGAATTCATTCAGTACTGGAATGTGTCAAGTAAGTGTAAGCAGTTTTTCAAAGTATTTACTGGACAATACAAGTGAATTGTTCAAGTATTCGGTTTATAGGGATTTGATTGATTGCTTACAGGATTTCAAATCCCTACAAAATAATACTTGAATATTGATGAGATGTTCACTGGTGACTCGATCTATTCAGGTAGGTAGTTATCTGGTTTCTAGTGGGAAGTCGTGACCAGTAGGGTGCAACAGGTCGGGTATGAGAACAGATACTCGCCGAAGATATTGGCTAGCTATCGCGCTATGTCGTGAAGTGGCAGAAGTTAGAATTCATGGGTTGGCCATTGGATGGGGTCTCAGTGGCCTAATGGTCTACGACCTAGCTCGCCTTGTAACCAGAAGGTCCTGGGTTCGAACTTTGTTGGTGGGTGCGTACTGATGAAGACTCCCAAACTAGGCTGATGAAACAGCTGTCCAGTACTCTCAGGTTTTCCAATGGTTCTCTAATCAATGTCAGCTCATGATGATATCCTGTAAACAAGTGAATTGTGTTGTGTTTCAATTAGATCTTCAGGCTTTACCTTAATGTACGTAGCTTGATTGATAAAAAGACTTAACCACTGAGGGCGGGATGGTAATAGCGATCTTGGTTGGGTTATGGGTGAGCATTAATAATGAATCCCATCCACACTCTAGGGGGAATCAGCTGTCCAGGGTTGCATGGGTTTTAATTTTGTTCGAAAAGTGCTATGGAATGCAACCTTGATAACCTTGAAATGAGATCTGAATAAAGTTGGTACGATAACATCATGGTCTTGTCCACGTCAAGTAAACCCTGGAGAGAATAAAAGGTGTACTCGATGAAGAACTCCGTCACGGAGAACTAGCTGGATTCAGGAAAAGCATATAATATGTTCTGATCAAACAGCAGCGCTACGCATAATCATTGAACAGAGCATAGAATGGCGGTCAAACTTCTCTCTAGCTCAACTTCATCGACTTTCAAATGACCTTCAATAGTGCTGACCTTGAAGTAATTCGGAAATAATTTGGAGTGCACGGAATCTTTATCAACCTCATTCAACTGCTGTATAACAATATCACACTCATTGAGGCGTTTGAAGTGAAGGTAGGAGTGACACAAGGCTTCATACTACCATCGACGATATTTCTGATTGTCGTAGACTGAATTGTCTGGCGGACTGTGCGTGGGAGCGACAAGGTAGGAATACGCTGGACCGATAAGAAGACTTTAGAAGATAAGGATTTCACGGTTGATTTATGCTGAATGTTGCACATACTTGAAGACTTTCAAGGGAAAACCAACAATTTGGCAGAAGAGGCAGGCGAGGTGATGAAGATAACTAACCAACCAACATCAACTACAAGCACCAATCACTATCAACGGGAGTAATCTAAAAGGAAGGTAGAATCGTTTCGACTATAGGCGGAACGGATGAAGATATTACACCCAGCGTCGGAAAGGTAAGGCAGACCTTCATCATTCTGAAATCAGTCTGGAATTCTTCTGCACTCAACATAAAGAACGAAATTTGGATTTTCAACACCAATGTTAAGTCGGTTAGTTCTTCTATATATGGGTCAGAGACTAAGCTCGTCACGAGAGGCGTTTCCAACAGGCTACTGCCGAATTTTGTCAACAGCTGGTCAGAAAGAATTAGCGACGAGAAACTCAGGGAAGAAATCAACCAAGAACTTGTTGCTCAACAAATATTCCGAAGAGGATGAAGATGGATTGGGTACATGCTGAGGACACCGTCAAATGATGTCGCTCGCCAGGAAATCTCTTGAGTGAGAAACGATGAGTCAGAAGTCAGTCTGAGGGTGACATGGAGGAGATCGTGTGAAGAGGTGAAAGCTTTTGGGTAATCGTAGGGTCATCTGAAGAGGACCTCAGAGAACAGGACAAAGTGGAGACGTGCTGCTGAAGCCCCTCCCCCAATGTCCCACTAGGAAACCAAGAAGAAAGATGCTTAGTAATGCGTTTTGTTAAGCTGCGTATCTGTTCACCTTACACAAGGAGCCTGTGTGTCAAACTGAGGCCGAACACTAAGGTCCAGTCGGTTAACCGTAAATTCCAAATTGAATTGAATAATTACTAATACCCGCTGCACAATAAAGAGGTGGTTCTCGTGGTCCAAGCGGTCTAGTGGCTAACGCTTTGACGTTTGGGACTATGGATACTGGATTAGAGCTTCAGTGAGGGGAGAAGCATCACTCACTCACTGAGGAGTGCAGATATATCCGGATGACGAGTCTCAATTGGGACAAGATGCGCATTCTGATGAATTCTATTACTAGTCACCATCCATCAATTTATCAACTATTTACTGTTTCCTGTTTATCTCAAATGTATTTTTTGTTTTTTCTTTCTTACTTGTGTTATGGAATCTAGATTCTAGTTTGTACAGATTCTATGGCACGTGGTATGGATATTGAAGATGTTGAATGTGTTGTCTCCTATGATATACCGTCTAGTATTAAAACGTATATACATCGTATCGGTCGGACAGCTAGAGCCGGGAAAAAAGGTGTCGCTTACACTTTGCTATCTACAAATCAAGTAAATTGTCTTTTGTTATTGTTATTGTTAATGTTGTTGTATTGTATTATTGTTTATATTACTGAATACGTAGTCCGATGTACTTGTGTTGTCTAAGCTGGGTGGTGGTTTCATTGTCGTCTTTCTTGACCTGAAAGCGGTATTCGATTCTGTCGAACAAGAGGTACTATGGTAATGTTTGATTGTAAAGGAGGAGAATGCTGAGAAAATATATCGCACTGATCAAGGCACTCTGCTTGAAATCATGCAGCCAGGTAAGAGCCTAAGGAGGGTTGTCATTTGAAGTGATGACAACCAGTGCTGTCTGTCAGGGATGACTACTGTCTCTATTTGTGTTTAATTTCACCATAGATGTACTAATGGACTTAAAAATAACCAACTTCAGTGACTCAAAGATTGACTTATTACCAGGGATTAATCTTGTTCACTTAGATTATAGGGATGATGTAGTCCTCGTAGGTGGTGAACATGCTGGCAAAATATAGAGTCTTCTGAACATCTTGAGCTGTGCAGCAATCTTCGAATGTTTGGCATGTTTCGCTCCTGTCATGTGTAAAATAATGCTACAGGACAGGACGACATCAACTCATTCCTAACTTGAAGATAGGCAGGAGTGAAGTGGTTGATATAAGAATAAAACTTGTGCACTGTGGTAGAGTATAATTCCATTGTGGGTAAAATTTATTTTGATAAAGTCTCACAGTGTTCGTTATACAGTAATGTTTACTGATGACGTATTACTACCAATCAAGTCAAGCAATGAAAATCATAGAATTATATAAACGAAGTCGGAAAGTTGTGTGAATAGTGCCGTGATGTGATTATGAGCAATAAATTGTGCTCGAAAGGTGGCCATCAGTAAATATTACTGTATAACACTGTGAGACTTTAACAAAATAAATTTTAACCACAAGGAGTGAAATGGTTGTTGGAGCGTGGTGACCACTTCACTTATTTGGGAAGTTGCATTAGCCAGCCCCAGCCGGTTAGTCGCTAACGAAATCTCCTCACGAATACAGAAGGCTCGTTTGGCATTTGTCAGTCAACTCTAGCGTAGACGTGATATCCGTCTGGCTATTGATCAAAGGACATGTGTGTACTGCTCATCAGAAGTTAGCTACCCCCACCTCCTTCATGGCTGTGAGTAGTGAGGCATGGCCACTGAAAACAGAAGACTTGAAAAGGCCGGCTAGCTCTCTTTAATCATATGTGTCGGCATTCTATCTCCTATGGTATAATAGGTTGAGTAATATTGAGGTAGGTGGGAGGGAAAATCAATCGATGAGGTTGTGAAGTTACATCGACTGAGACGGTTAGGACATGTGTAACTCATGCAACCATGGCTATTGCCTTCCTCTGCGGGAATTACTGGCTGACATAGGATTCAGTTGGAAAGGAGTTACGGATGTTCAAACCAAAACCTGGTATCCATCTATGTAGTCTTTGATAGTTGGTTAAAGCGACGTACGGAGATGTAGACTGCTTGGATGGAGGGGGGTCTTCAGGAACAAGTGGCTGGAGACAATTGGTGATGTGGCTCAAAATCGTTCTTAACGGTGAAGATACATTCACTCTTTGTACAATCTGCCATATCCAAAAAAACACCTATGGTTTTTCTATGTTACTATCCCTTCTCCCTCATATTTCTGCTTACTACTCCTCTTTGAACCTATTTTTACTCTGTATTCTCGCGTTGTGTGCTACCTGGAGGAAACTGTCTATATACTTGTGTTTAGTTGTGAGGCATATGTTATTCTTAACGGTAAATGGTGTTATTTTATGTTGACTGTAGATATGGTGAAGATTTGCAGCTCAGGTGGATGATTTTGATGTAGTTGTGTTCTCTGAGCTGGATAGTTTATTTGCGAAGCATTCCTTATCCTACTAGGCAACATCTTCAATGCATACTTCAATTTGAATTGAAGTGAGCTTTTAGATTTCTCCACGAGTTTATTATTCATCTCTCCTGGTAACCTTGGACGTGATTGGTTGTTTTTGTGTTTTTCACACCTTCTAGGTTACTTGTATTGTAACTCATTGTTTCTTTGACTTGAACTTTGACCCTTTGTGTGTAAGGTTTCTTTCTTATCGGTTGATAAATTTTGTCAATCTCGATGTGTCTATTGATTGATGATTCACTGGAATGCCAAGCATCTAAAAATGCTGTAGCACTCTTGTTGTTTCCTCTATCTAATATTTCAACGTTGTCCCAGTCGAATTGATGTCCGTGGTTGTCTGTATGTAGTGATATGAGGGAGTGAATGTCATGTCTTTAGACGGTTAGCTTATATTCATGGATACGAAGACGATGGGGATGTCCACTTTGGCTAATGTAGTGCTTTGGGAAGTTGTTACAATTTATCTTGTAGATGATGTTAGTGTAATCTTTTTTCGTTGTTAAGTCTTTTGATTGACATAGAGCCAGCCAGCTGAGTGAAGTGATTTTATTGGTTTGTGTGCTACATCAATTCCTAAAGGTTTGAAGAGTCTTGCAGTGATTTCTGAAATGTTTCTTATATATGGTAGTGCGATTTTCTTTGTGCTTTCCTTGGGGACCTTTGATTTGGTAGGTTGGCATGGGGGTAGATGTCTTTTGGTGGAATTCCACGGGCATCCATTCTTTTGAAAGACGTCCATGAGATATCTTTCTTCAATTTTCCTTAAGGTGGGAGTGCTTGACTGTACTGTATCATAAGCTTGAACATATGCAACTGATACGACATGACACCTGGAAAAAAAGGGAAAAGAGTGTAAGTGTCTTCACACCTTTAACTGATACAGTAAAATACGACATTATTATTATTATTCCCTTTGGTTACGAGTAGAACATAGAGCTCCAACAGCGTATCTGCATTTCATCCTGTTCACCGCAGTCATCTTTAGCCTGTCTCCACAGTGACCTATAGTCTCTCTTCCCCTCCTCGCATGATCTCCCTCTGATTCACGCCCAACTCATCGTTTCCCATTCGCTTTCCATTTGAGGGTTGGCTTAGGCTGTGATGTCACTCAACTGTCTGCGCAGCGTATGTCCTATCCATCTCCATTTCATTCGACTTATTCGTTGGACAACAGGTTCTCGATTGGTTCGTTCTCAGAGTTTCCTATCGGTAATCCTTTCTGACCAGTTGATCTTCAGTATAGAGCCTGCGAAGGCAGTTGTTGATAAAATTCTGCATCAGCGTGTTGGAAATGCTTTTCGTGATGCTGGCGCCAAATTTCAGACCCATACAGAAGAAGTGACTGATTTACTGACTTAACATTTGTGTTGAAAATTCGAATCTTGTTCTTTATGCCAAGGGGAAGTGTAGAAGATTTCCAAACTGATTTCAAAGTGATGAAGGTTTTCTTTCGCCTTTCCTATCCTAGTTTCGACATCCTCATCCGTGCTAACTGCCTATAGTTGGAACGATGCTGTGCTTTGAAATTTTTCTAGCGATTCGATTAGTTTTCCGGCTTACGAGTTCATTTATGTGTCGGTATTCACATATCTGTAGTTTACGTCATCATCAACCGCGGGGATCTTTACCGCCTCTCTTGTCATTTAATTTGTTCATTTAAATGTTTGTCTGTTTATTTATATGTTTGTATGTATGCGTGTATGTGTTTGTGTATATTTTCTCTTTCTTCTCTGTTGTCTCTAGTTCTACCATTTTAAAAAAGACTTGAAACGTGTTGGTCGTAAAAAGATAAAACAACTACAATTCCATCAAAGTCAATGGTCACAATTCAATACTGAATATAAAGTTGCATTAAGAAATTATGAAAATCTTATGAAAGTAAGTATATTTTGAAAAGAATTTTCAGTTTTTTTGTTGTCGTATGATTGTACAGAAGTGTGATTTGAAAATAAATAGATCCCACATAATGAACCGATCTCAGTTACACAAACGTTTGTTAGAGATTAAGGCCCACTCGATAGCTTATTTCCTTCTTGGTTTGGCACCTCTTCTCCAGTGCACTGATAAATGGATAAAATCACAGAAAAGCACAGTGATATATAGACCTCATTTTCTATATGTCATTTTTACATGTCTGTCCACTTATTGATTTATGACCTGATTTTCTCTCACCCTACTTATGGCCTTTAAAATCCTATTGGTTGTTCACTGTCTTAATTTATCAATGATATTAGCGCTTCTCAAGGTCATTTTAAAACTAAATATGTGGAAGCCCTGTTAACCTTTTTTTGACTTGTTTTGAGACAGTAAAAGCTCTCTTACCAATGTCCAGTCTTCTCTTCTGTCCCTCAAGGCGCTGTCCTTCCTCCTTTTCTGTTTTTTTCTTCTTGCATGACTTGCCTCACTCTGATGAAATGAACTTTGTTAAGTATGCCGATGATCTATTTCAATGTCTGTTAACTCTCAGCTTGACTGTAATAAGATAAACAACTTTCTATCAGAAATTAGCAAATGGTCTTCGTCTAACGGCCTTAAACTAAATCCTTCCAAATATCAGACTGTTAATTTCAGTTTCCGATGTAAACGAAAGTTAAATGAAGCTGTTAGTTTCTATGACCGTTGCAAAATTGATGATAGTGATATAGAAATCAAGTCTGAAGTTAAGTATCTTGGATTAATTCTTTCTTCTGACCTATCCTGGTCTTCCCATATCTTAGCGATTTCTAAAAGAATATTTCGTCTGACTTTTTACATTAAGAAGTTAAGGCACTCAGGCATAACTCAACCCCTCCTCCTCTTACAGTTTGTCAACTCGTGCATCTTACCTATTCATCTTTTCTTTCTTGGATTGCTTAAAAAAAGACTATGTTATACTTCTTAGAACTCTGCAGACTGCCAGCAAGGCGAGTGGTATCCCATCGGGCCGTTTCGTTGACATCGTCACTGATAGGCATTTGATTTCATGCAACAAATTTGCTAAAGGGATTTTTTTCAGACTGTGAGCATCCACTTTATCCGCAGCTCCAACCTTGTGTCTCCTCAAGTAAAACAAGAAGTCTTTTCAGAAGGCTTATGTGTAGTAATATAAACTTTAATAAAAATTTATTTCCACCCTTACAACATCAAACTTTATTGTTATTGTACTTCTTATATTTATAATCCTCTCAATTTTTGTTTTTATTTGTTTATTTTTTCATAAGTGTGAACATCATTTAAGCTGTGTTATAACTGTTAATTTTGTATTTCCCCTCACCATACTATATCAAAAGAACATTAGATTCAATACTCTATAACATGTTAAAATTTCCAAATTGTGTCGACAATACTGTTTGAAACAAACTCACTGTTATTATTATTATTATTGTATTTGATATTCTCAATTCGTACTTCGAATATTTTTGACTTTATATCGTAAATGTGGACAAATTCCTCTGGTTAATTTTATTTATATTTTAAGTAAATCAGATGCGAGATATTGTGACAAATGCTGAGGATTCCAGTCTGTATTATAAGTACTGTTTTTGGAATAAAGTAGATTATTATTATTATTGTTATTTTGCGGCTCCGCGGCGTTGTTATTGTTGTTGTTGTTGTTGACGTGCAATTAGAGCAAATTAGCCAGCGCGTAAAGTTAGTATTTTCTCAAAGTCTACTAGGTCATAGTTCCGGTCATAACACATATTGTATATGTTTTTGTTTTCTATCTCCCGTATGAAGTGGTATAATAGGGTGAGCAATATTGAGCAATATGTGTAGGCATCCATTCCTAGCCATCGCCTTCCTTAATGGGCAGTTTCCGCTGACATAAGATTGATCAGGTTGGTGGTCAAACGAAAACATGGTTTCATCAGTCAATGAAATCTACAACAGTTAGTTCCAGCCACTTAGGAAGGTGTAGACTTCCTGATTGGGGTCCTCAGGGCGGTTAACACCAATGGCTGGAAACAATTGGTGATATTACTCAAAATCGTTCTGTGATGGCTCAGATGCATCCACTCTTTGTGACTTATAATATCCAATGAAACTATATTGTTCTTCCATATTACTATTCCTTTGTCTCATATCCCTGTATATTGTCTCTACTGTGCATTTCGTTTTACTTTCTTCTCTTGCTTTGTGTGCTACATGGAGGGAGTGTGGCGACTCGAACTTTTGCACATCGGTGCAAAGTTCTACGTTGAAACCAGTTAGTTTCTGATTCCATTTGAATGGTGGGTAATTATGACACAGGGAAATTTGTTTGCCTTTTTGGCGGTGTTATGATTGGGACTACGACCTAATAGACTATGAACGAATACTGACTTAATGCGTTGGCTAATCTGTCCTAATCGCACGTCAACAACAACAATAACACCACCGGCACGCAAAGACAAGAGAAAAGACTGGACGTCAATAAGAGAGCTTTTACTGTCTCAAACAACAGTGGAAATGCTAGACAGAAACTCTGTATATATATATATATATATATATATATATATATATGCGTTATTGTCAGCGGAGAAGCAGCGTCTTCTGATTGGCTATTTTCTTGCAGAAGGTCATTCTGTACTGCTTGTGACCGTTTCTCAGAAAGTTAAGCCATATATCTGCGAATCGTATTTGCACACGTTAAGTCTATCGTGATTGGTTGGTGAGTGAGTTTCTCAAGGTTAAGCATTGTTATTGTTTTCTTCATGACCCTGATTCGGGACGTAACATTGACGTAAATTGTTGTCTACAATTTTGGCTTGTTCGCAGCCATCTGTCACCACAATATAAGCTCAATAATTTTGGTTTCCAAAAGGGTATCACTGTAGCAAATTGTCTCACCTTGAATTGTTAATTTTTGTGTTTTACTTTATAATGTCAAGATGTCCTAATTATATCTACACCTACGTATTTTTCCCTAAAGTCTTTAGGCAAAACTTCCTCGTCCCTGACATCACTGCCAGATGCTCTTACTGTAAAACATGGAAATGAAAATAAAAAGAGCCTTTCAGAAAGTCGATTTCACAACGAGGAGAACAAGAAAAAAGCTAAGCAGCAGAGGAAGGAGAATGGGAATAGCAAAGAAGTGCATATGGAGATGGAATAGGAAAAGAAAGCAATGGCCATCTCATATCATTGTGTAAAAAAACATTTGTTGTACAGTGCAGCGATTAATTTTGATAAATAAATAAATTTTTGAAGAAAAACAGCTGGCTTTTTTGTTGTTGCTGCTGCTGCTGTTGTTTCGTTTGTGTTGCGTTGTGCCATCTGTGTATATACTTTTTTGAAAGAAAAATGATGCATTCAATGTTTGTTGAGTTCCATTTGTATAATTTTACAGTATATTTATTATTATTATTACCTTGGGTTCGGAGTCGAACATAGGGCTTCAACAGCAGATCTCTATTTTGTTATATTTTGTGCTGTCATCTCTAACTGGGTCAACGATTCCCCACAATCTCTTATCTCTTCCTCGCCACATGACCTCCTTCATGTCGCCCTCGACCTCAAGCACTATTCGTCTTTTCTAACTCTGGTTCCACTCGAATATTGGTCTAGCTGGCGTGCGATGTCATTCAACGGTCTTCCTAGCATTCGCTGATGCACCTCTATTTTCTTCTACATATTTGTTGAATGATAGATTCGTGGTTAGTTTGTCCCCAAACGCGAGCTCGAATAACTCAGTGGTAGCGTCTTTGACTGCAGCACTGGGTGACGCGGGTTCAAACCTCAGGAGGGACATGAGCTCCTTCAAGGTTGCCTTGCTGACAGATAAGTTCCAACTAGCACGAAATCTAGGTCCAAGGCTTCCTGCCGATTGCCTTCAACCATCTAATAAGTCTCCAACCTGTTCGAAATGCATGTCGTGACACGCAGTGCAAGTTCCTAATCCACATAGAAGAAGTGACTGATTGCTTGACATAACATTTGTGTTGAACAGACTCCGAATCCTGTTCTTTAAGCTGGGGTGAAGTGTAGAAGATTTCCAAAATGATTTCAGAGTGTTGCAGTTTTGTCTTGTCTTTTCGATTCTGGCTGGCTGTGACATCTTCATCCGTGCTGTCGCCTGTAATTGAAATAATGTTTCCTAGAAAAGTGAAGGAAGTAGCCTCCTACAAATTCTCCCTGTTCATATTGATTTGTGCTATTTGTTGTTGCTGTTGGTTGGTTATCTTCATCACCTCCGTTTTCTCTATGTTCATTTGAAGCTTATCCTATTTTCGCTGCTTCTTTGGTTAGTTTTTTGGTTTTCTCCTGCAATTCTCGCTTCCACCGAAAGGAGACTCATCGCCTGCCTGGCTTCCCGAAGGGTTTCATCAGCCGGCGTCTTTTCAACTCTCCTGTTCCAGAGAAGAATGAGTTTATTTTTTACATTCTTTTATGTTTTTTTAATATATTTATTGTGCGTTGAAGTTTTTGTAGCAGTTTGATTGAATTTCAAAGGTAGTGTCGCTAACCCCATGTCCAACCGTCCCATTTTACCCGGGTTTTGGACCGGCTAGAAAACTAGCAAGCTGGTTAACTAGTCGAGGTTGTCTTCGTGCTGAAGGTTATTCTGTACTGCTCGTAACCGTTTCTCAGAAAGTTAAGCCATATATCTGCGGACCGTATTTGCACACGTTAAGTCTGCTGTGATTGGTTAGGAGGTTCCTCAAGGTTAAGCTTTGTTATTGTGTTTTCCTCATGACTCCGATTGAGGATGTAAACACTGACGTAAATTGCTGTCTACAATTTCTGCTTGTAGACAGCTGTCACCACACTATGTGTAGGCGGTTTGATGAAAAATATGCCCAAAGTATTATCGAGCGAAATTTTCACCGGTGTAATTCTTTAAATTACATTCCCTTTATCCTTCGATGATAGATCATTTAGCGTGGGAAATTGGAGTTGGTTTTCTAGTGAATTCAATAATTTGTACGCTACTCACTACAGTTTCGAACGGATGAAGTAATCGGTTGAGGCCTACCCAGATGTTGTTTTTTTATCCAGAACGAAGTTATCCTGTTGTTGAGTTGCGGTAATTGTGTTGTTCTGCACTCTTTTGACAAGTATCTTCTTCTGGAGTTACGTGGATAGTTATTTACTGTAACTACCTTATTCAGGCTAGGTAGTTTTCTTCATAGTCCATGTGCTGCAGCGAATCTTGGCTCTTGAAGTACCTCATATATACGTTCCCCCCTCACTTTGATTCGGTCAACTAATTACTAATATCTTCCTCCACACACTAAATGTGGTTTGTGGAGCATTCCATGAACATGTATAGAGGGGAGACGTAATTCATTTTCTTAAACACGCCTGACTTCTCTTTGTAGAGCCTAGGTCTGAATCTCACACTACCGTCTGCAGGTTAGATAATCGCATGGTGATGACTTTTGTGGTAGTGGAACACTATTGATTGAAGGGAGTAATTGAAAAGCAATTGTGATCTTGTACTTTTCACTTTTAAACACGTGAGTTATGTTAATTAGTTGATGGTGACTAGCAGTGGAATCCAGGATGCGCATTTCGTTCTATTTAGGACTCGTCATCTGCATGTGAGTTGTGTATTGTGATTTTGAATTGATGGCATTCATCTTGATTTCTGACCTAAGAGGAATTCACCGACTTCAGTACACATACAGTTCAGTCTTTATGACGGTGGATGTGTATATTTGATGAGTGGTACTTTGAGTGTTTGAATAATATTCACTTGACTTACACTGATATGCATTGGTTTAAGGCACCCCACTGACCTCTTGTGCTTTTTTCGATGTTTTATACGTTAGTGTCCATTCAACAGCGAGACAGTCCTAATTTCATCGAATCTTATCCAGTGAACTATGAGTATCGTTCAGTGAACAAAGGTTGCAAAGACAAAAAAGCAATCTAAGACAAGTGATAAAAGGTAACTATCTATTGTGGAAAATTGTAGATTTGTTTAATTTAATTTAATATTTCCTGCTGATTGATTATATTTCATCGACATATTAACATATTGTCATTAAGTGGATATGGTGACTACCACTGGATTCCAGGATGGGAATTTCGTCCGTGTTGGGACTCGTCATCGTAATCTAATTGCACCCGTTGTGAGTAGGAACAGCATCACTTACTAAGGTTGCGGGAACATCCAGTTGATGAGCGCCAGATAGAACGAAATTCGCTTCCTAAATTCCACTGCCAGTTACCTTCCACTAGATGATTACAGCTCGAGGACGTGCAGGCGGAAAGCCAACAAACTGACAGAAGAGGCTAGCGGAGAAGACAGGACTCTAGGTGAACATAGACAAAACGGAGATGATGAAGAGAACCAACCAACAGCAGCAAAAACAACAACCAGCATCAATCACTATGAACGGGAGGAATTTGAAAGAGGTTGCTGCCTTCACTTTTCTAAGAAACATTGTTTCAATCACATACGACAGCAAGGATGATGATGTCAAAGCCAGCCAGAATCGGAGAGGCAAGATACGCCTTCACCAATTTGAAATAGGTTTGGAATTCTTCTCTACTCAGTTAGCATAAAGAACAAGATCCGGATTCTGTTCAACAAAAATGTTAGGTCAATCCGTTCCTCTCTAAGGATGAGGAACTTGCAGTAGGCGTCACGAAACTCATTTCCAACAGGTTACTGCTGAGTTTTATCAACATCTACCCCCTCCGCTGGTTCCATATTGATGATCAAATGGTCGGCCAGAACGAATTAGCAATAAGAAACTATGGAAACAGACTAACAACGAATCTATCGTTCAACAAATATGTGGGAGAAAATAGTGATGGATCGGACACATACCGCCGAGGAGACCATCGAATGGCATCGCGCTCCAGGCCACTGTTCGAGTGGAATCAGAATTGGAAACGACGAGTGGGGCATGAAGTAGGTCGTGCGAGGAGGTGGAAGATATTAGAGGTTATGGGCAATCGTAGACCCAAGTAAGGAGGACAGCAGAGAATAGAATAAAGTGTAGATGTGTTGTTGAAGCCGCATGTTCGACTCGGAACCCAAGGGAACAGTAATAGCAGTGCATAATAACAAGAGTTGTAGATACATTTTACTGTTATGAGAAGTGTCTCACACCTCAAGTGTTATTGAAAACTTCATGAAAGTGAATCTTATTTATTTATTACTAATCAACTCGACTTTGTGATTGTGAGCAGAGTAAGTAATTCAACTTGACGGAAGACTAGTCTGGAATATCACAGTGTTAAAGTATCATATTTCTTCATTCATCTCATTTCGTCAAGATTTAAGATTTAGTAGTCGCATTGATTCATGCGAATAAGGATAGAACATAGTTCTGAGGCTTTTATTATAGAATTACCTCCTCTACCATCAAGCAGTTCTTATCAGATAGAGATGTAGATTCTGAGCTTTTCACCGAATAGTGTACAAGGTTTCATTCAGATCCCTTTCCTTGATATAAAACTTACTAATGCAGTGTGGATAGTGTTGTAATTAGAAGACGGAGATTATCTGAAAAATATTTTGGCTTATTTTCGCAATACATTTCGAACAACAGTCTCATCCCTCACACATTGACTTGTCAGTTAACTCAATTTATATATGAAAAAAGAAAGGCCAGTTAAAATACACAAGGTGACAAAAAGGATTTAAGAATAATAAGGACAATTAATACAACGTTTGGTTATACATGAAATCAGATAAGGATTACCATGGTAGGTGGGTTAAGAGTAATATATGAATTGTTTTTCTACACACAGGCGGGGGTGAGGAGGGGTAGGGGGCTTGTGTTTACGAATAGCTATCGCCTCAGCGTATTTCAATAAAGGCTACTGACCATTTTTAAAAATTTTGATTGGACACTAGTAACTGGTGTGATGTATCTAGTCCTTTCTTTGGTCCAGATTAAATTCTGACGAGTGCCAACTAGCACGAAACCTAGTTCCAAGGCTGGGCTTCCTTCTGATTGCCTCCAACCATCTAATATCAAATCAATGTGCGCCTTGATGGCGAGCTACCTAGAATGATGGCCACATTGCAAACGTGACTGATAGAATTCAGTCTGCACCAAACAAAGGACTAGACACATCACACTAGTTACTAGTGTCCAATCAACAAATCCAATAGAGTCCTACAGGAGGTCAATCGCGAGCCCAAATAGCTCAGTGGTAACGTCTCTAACTTAAGCACTGGGTGACGCGGCTTTGAATCTCAGAAGGGACATCGGTTATTTCAGTAGTTGTAGATACACCTTGCTGACTGGTGAGTGCCAACAAGCATGAAACCTTGGTCAGGTTGTGCTTCCTGCTGATAACCTCCAACCATCTAATATCATCAAACCTTAGAAGCTGTTTTGACATCCATCGTGTGGATCATATCGACTAGATGTTTAGCTATAGAGTAAGCTGATAATCTGCCACCTGCACCTGTCAATTTTCCGTAACCACTTTACAGTACTCTCCCCCACCCTCACGTAGAAAGCGGGATTATCCCTCTCTATGTATATGAGTCCACAAACACACGCATGTAAAGTAGTTTTTTGTGTGGGATGTGAAATAATCACTTGTGCACTTTTGAGGTTTGTAGTGGAGTACATTTTCGGCTTTTTCAATACGTATAAGCTGAGCTGCATAATACGTTCTGCGGATGACCGGGTTTAGTCTCTGTCTCAAAATCCTACTATTTGCTTTCCCATTGTATGGTAATTTAATGAAAACATCTTTATTGGAGATAGAATAGATTGTAGGTATTAAAAGTAACTGACTGCTACGCTGGTTCAAAAATTTTAAACACTATCCGTATTCAATAAGAGTATCCAACAGTATTGCATTCCCTAAATATGCTGAATATTCTTTGATGAACACTTCACCAAACCTCTCGTATATTGTAGTGGACAAAAGCTGTGAAAATTGATTGCGCAAATACTTCACATCACTTTTCCAGATAATCTCCGTCTTTTAATAAAAACACTATCCGAATTTATACAAGGGACTAATTGTTTTAAATTACTAAGACAGTACCTTATTCTAAATGCTGTCGAAATATCGAAGTTTTCGCAGGTTTTATTTAAAAGTTTGCCAATCTTTCATTTAGAATCGATATAATGTATGGATGTTCAGGGCAGTATAGCCTTCACCAACATAATCATTATGATAAAGGTTTCATTGTATTTCCCAATGAATTAATGAAAAACAAGTCGATATTGTGGGGTTTACTGACATTTCGTTATTTAATGATGCTCATAGCTTTATCAAAGTAGTAAGATTAAACTAGAATTTACAAAATTTCAGCTTATATATATATAACAACTTATTCATCATTCCCCAGCATGAGGGCATTTTTGCGTTGTCAAATTGGCCAATTGGTGAAGATAACAAAACCAGGTGTAGATTATTGGATTTGATAACCGTACGAAATTATAAAAGCAGCTTGTGTTTGCATAATGAAATCGCTTATCACATTCGTATTGATTTTGTCAATTCATGGGGGAGAGAGGTGTTGTAACCAGGTCAAATTCTGTTTTAGTCCATCATTCCTATTCAGACAATTTGGATTCCATTTGATGATATGAAGTGCTTCTGATGAAATGAGACGTTCTTTGTGATTTCTGAAATGCTTTTTCTGGATGATGATTTCAATATTGTCAAAATCAATTTTGTGGCCTGATTCTATAGCGTGTAGACAAGCTATGGCTGGCTGATGATTTGATCAAGCTGGATTTCTCGGTGGTCGAACAGATGCGGCTCTACGGTGTTCATTTCTTCAGACTTTGACTTCTTGAGATGTTTGTCCGATGCATATAGCATTGGTATTATTATTATTATTAAATTTATTCAGAAGTAATTTTAATTAAATCAATCGTTTCATGCCTTTTATTGGGGTTTTTCTTTAGATGATCTACATAGTAATTTATGCTGTTACTATCCTGTTGGTTATCAACGCTGACAATACACCGCCAACTTCAAATTATCCTATTCAACGTCCACATCTTGACTGTAATATAACTCAACAAGGATTTCATCTTCGATTACGTTGTGATTTCCATAATTTTCCTGAGAAATCATTAGAAACTTGTCAACTTCATGTACATTTACCGTCAGGTATATTAGAATGATTTTGTTTTTGTATTTATTATTATTCTTTTTAAAAATGATTTAGTTGAAGGATTTCATCATGAGCTGAGATCACTTAGAGAGAACCATTGGAAAACTAGTTGGGACTACTGGACAGCTGTTTCGTCTGCCTAGTTTGGGACTCTTCATTGACTGGAGGATCCTAGGTTTGAACCCTGGCGCTGGGTGTGTACTGTCGAGGAGTCTCAAACTGGGACGAAACAGCTTTCCATTACTTCACGCTGGTTTTCAATGGTTCTCTAACTACCATAATTATGATCATCTTGAATGATGTGTCAAAGTATCAAAGTAAAAAGTTGAGGAAAGAAAATTATTCAGTCAATGTTAACATCTAATTGAATCTGAATCACTTTTGCACATGAATCCTTTCTAAAATGTATCACAATATTAATTCTGTATTGTTCAGTGTTCGACTGTACATTCATTAAAATAAATATCCATTAAGATATTTTAAAAATATTGAAATATTGTGCTACAATAAAAAATGACTTGCAATGTGTTAAATTTATATTTCGAGCGCCAAAAAGTTCCTAAATTCATTGTTACTTTTATGAATTTCCTTCCCAAACATAGAAAATTTCAAATTTGTTTAAATCACCTCATTTTCGCGCGTTATTTAATTAATTTAAATTTATTTATTGCGCGCACTATTTAGTTAACCTTTTTAATTCGTTTCAATGAATACACATTTATACTCTTTTATGTTTAGGTTTTTATATTGATCCATATGAATTAGCCTCAAATCAGCCTAAATTGAACTTTTCCATAAGTAAATCAGTCAATCATAATGAAAACTCTCGAATTAATCGATTTGTAAAATGGTTGACAAATGCAAATAAAAAAACTGATTCAACCAATGGGAATAATAATGAAGTATTAAGTTATAATCATGTGGATATTGAAGCTCCAGAATGGCTTTCTCAACCATTGACGTATAAATTTCATACAAATCATTTAGACGATAAAGCTAAATCAGAAAAGAAAAATGCAGTTGATTCATTAGATATTCCTATTCATTTACGTTATCAGTAAGTGTTTACCTTTTTCTTCTTTTATGTAGGAAACGTTTTGACTGTTTTGTAAGTTTAAATGATTGACGGCATATGTGTAAAACTTGGGCACTGTGGTAGTAAGTAATTCCATATTAGTTTGTTTATTAGATGTATCACCACGCAGTGAGTGAAACAGTATTATTGCTTACTGGATGACAAGGTTTCGAACAAAATTTATTGCGGTTCATAATCATATCATCAATTATAATCACACGACTTCGAAACTTGACTTTTATAGTTTTCTTTGTTCTCTCCTGTTCGCCTTCGTAGGCGCGGTAGTAGAATATTCCAGATATCTGGGTGGATAGGTGTTGAATCTTTCCTATTACACGTGTTCTCTCTCAGTTGATTCGATAAACAAAGCTTCCTCTGTCATCAATCTCTTTCTCTATTCACCCTGTGACATTAGATTTTAAAACTGTCATCTTATCCCATCCATCCTATTGTATGGTTGTGTGTGATTGCATGCAGTGAGTGGTGTAGCTGAACTATTCTCTAGATTTCTTATCTTATTCGGGTCAACTAATCTAGATTTTGCTGCTAGGTTTTTATGCTCGGCTAGTCTCACTGACTGCACCTGTTCTACCACTTTGACTTATGTATTTGACCTGCCAATCATTGCAGACAGGGTATCAGATAAACTAAATTCTTTTGTTTAATGGGCTCCACAGGATTGATCCTTTAACTGACAAAGCTTGTTTCTAATTGAGTTTGTGGGTGGTTTGAATGCCAGTCACTTTTATTCCTTCTTGTATTGTTAAGAATTCTCCGTAACGTGGTTTCCGAGGTTCCTTCCTTTTATGGAATTACTACTGATGACTTACATTCCTTATTGTTGGTTTTGTCATTATCTTAGGCATGTTTGACATGCATGTCGTCATTATTATTATTATTATCACTATCACTACTATCATTATTTATTTTATTTTTACATTTCCCTACATACTTTCTGACTAATTTATCAGGATAATTATTAAGTTTCAAGGCTTCTCTTATATGTATCACTTCCTGTCTTAGATTTTCTTTGGTACTACTTAGTTTTTGTGCTCTATTGTCACTTAAACATTTCACCAATCATATTTTCACTGACATAGGATGGGATGGTCGGAAAACTAAATCCAAAACTTAAAATACGTGTAAAGGAATGATTCAACACCTGTCCACTCAAATATCTGGAAGATTCTACTACCTCAACGACGACAAATAGGAGAGAACAGAGAAGACTATAAAAGTGAAGTTTCCAAGTCGTCTGGTTATAATTGATGACATGATTATGAACAATAATAAATTTTGTTCGAAACCTTGTCATCCAGTAAATAATAATACTATTTCACTGACTGTGTGTGATACATCCAATAAACAAACTAATACGGAAGGATTGACGATAAAAACCCTCAGGAATTTAAGCTATAAATGAGATAAATCTGATTGGTTTCATGACATCGTAATCCCTTCAGGAAATTAAGCCATAAATAGGCGAATGAAAAACTGTCCAATCAGGTGATCGTGTCAGTACACGCGTAAATCACGAATTCACAGCTAACACAGAAGCTTGTCCGTCCTAACAATAATGTAATAAAATAACAGTCCTAGAAAAAGTTTATGATCATCGGACATAAATAATCATTCTAAAAGTGATAGCATTGTTGTTTATGCGTCTTCGGTGGTGTATGCCATCCACCTGTTTTATTCAAAATAGGAATCTGCTCAAGAGCAAAATGCATTGAAGAAACAGAAATCTTCTGTTTAAAATGTTATAGATTTTATTAACTTGACCTAATAAAATTTAAATACATTACAACACAATTTTATTCATATTTGTAATTCCCAGTTTTTATATGTGGAACCTATTGATCAGCCTTTTTTGGTGTGTGTGTGTGTGTGTGTGGAGGGGGCTCCTTGAACAGACACCTCGGTAATACGATAATAATCCGCGATTCGCGTTCCTTCCGCCTTGAGGCTCATCAGCCCTTATTGATATTGGTGAGGTTTCTGTTCATGGAGACCATGTATTAGAAATCACCTGGTCGATTCGTTTTGGTATATCATCAAAGAGGAATTCAAAATAACTTTTTTATCAATAACGAGAGTTGCCCGTTAAACTAGAGGTAGCTCCCGTTGCCGTCTAGTGGATAACCTAATGGTGTTTGAAGCGGTCGATGGTGGTCAGTTCAGTCTCACTTGGAAGCAGTAGGTACAGCCAGTTGACGAAATGAAAACGAAATTAACAGGGGGCTTGAAGAAGCCTTTTTAAATCTAGTGAGACGACTAAATCGTACCTATCTTCCTTATTCATTTCATATACCATTATGTAGGTGGTACATCTGTATAATGATCTCCAACCACCCATGCGGTTCGGGGTTCGATCCCCGGCGACGCAGTCCTTTACCTAGTTAAGACTGGTAGAGAGGGAAGGTTGGTTGGACATGAGGTTAGCATCCCCATCCCGTAAAAACAAACACCGCTGCTACCGAAACTTTAAGCCCCTAGCTTGAAGCCACCCTATGTTCCAGCACTGGGAACGTAAAAGGAATAAGCTATGTCATCATTTTATTACTTCATAATTGAGAAATTTGTTCGTAGTATCTTTTGTTACTGAATGTATATTTTCTGATGTGCCACGGTTAACTTCTGTAACTCTTCTTTTGTTTATCATTTCTAGTCTACCGTTGACAAAAAGTGAAGAACTTAAGAACACTGAACCTACTACTGAAATCAAACATCCTACTCTTAACTGTCCAGATGGCAGTAACAGTTATATTGTCAGCAAGAATGATAAAGATCATTTCCCAGTGATTGTACCAAAACCTAAAGCTTCTGATCTTATATATGTAATGCCTATTACTATTCTATTATTAGTTATAGGTGTTGTAGTCCTCTTAATGGCATAATTGCTGTTTTGCTCAACCTGTCAACTAACTGTTTTCTCTCTCTTTCTACCTTCTAATAATTAGTAACGGTAAATATATACAAATATCTGAGAATCCATGACAACGGGACATTTCAGGGAAATGGAGCCTCTTTGGCAATAGTATATGTGATAGTATAATAACAACTCATTGTTCTTTTTAATTTTGTTTTTGTAATTTACTCCTCTCAGTGAATGCGCTAGAGGTAAACTTTTATTGTAATAAAACTCCTTGAAGTATTCTCATCTTTGTGTTGTGTTTAATCAGCTGTTTTGATCGAAATGCATAATTGTAGCAGCTAATCTGATCTATTAGTATAAGGCGAGGAAAGTGAATGCGAAATATTGAGTAGTTATCCTCCGCTATTCGTATCTTGTTTAGGTCCATTTATTCCCTGCATGACCCTATCACTTTTGAATGCTATTTCAGTATTGAATGTGAAGCGACAAAGGCGATGTGTTGTCTGAGTGACTTATTTAAAGTTTTGTCGAATCAGATAAATCACATCCTAAAAATATGCTTGCAGTACCGTGGTGTATATTGAATAGGTGCAGAATGACCCGACATGCATCATGGAGGTGAATTCCCACAATATGGTCACTGTAGGTTAGTTGGATCCACCTCGGACAAGTTCATTGTGTTTTATTCCAAATAGGTGGTCAAAATACTTGGGAAAAATACACTAGCTGTAATGATTTGTGCTGAGGAATCGGTTATATATCATCATGGACTAGCTCGATGTCAATCACCATCAATAGAATTAATATCCAAAGGAAATAACTTATTTCAATTGCCTATGTAGCAACATTTCAGCCACAGTTGAGGTTGTTAAAGTCAGGCATTTTCGGAAAAGCAAGACAGGTATTCATCATTGTGAAAGCAGTGTGAAGATCCACACAACGTAACACCAGCAACAAGAGTGGAATTTTCAACACCAGTATCCGTATGGTTCAGAAACTTGACATTAATTGCCAAAAGCATTTCCAACAGGCTACTGTGGACTTTTATCATGAAGTGCATGTGGTCGATACTGGGGCCTAGATGACTAGTAGAGAAACGCAAATATGAGCTCTGGGAACAAATCAGCTGACGACATATTGCAAAATTTATATACAGTAGGAAATCAGTATGGTTTAAACACATGACGATCGGTAGTCACTCAAGAGACGTCACACACCAGAGCGTCTAGTGGAACCATACTAAAAAGTGATGAGTTTGACGTTCGAGAATGACACTATAGAGATCATGTCAGTAGGGAAATTTAGGCTTTTGAGCAGTTCTGAACAAAAATGAAGGTGACGGATGGGAAGTGGGTGGATAAATGATGTGTTGCTCAGTAATATTAAAAATAATCAAAAGACGCATTGTTAGATTAAAGCACTTTCTAGCCTAAGGATATTTTCGTAGTACTCGGGAGAGTTAAACCCGATTCTTCCTTTAAATCTCATTTTATAACATACAATAGGCTATCTCTTCTATGTATTTCCAATATCTACTATAGATAAGTCATGATTTTTATCATACGATGCTATCCGAGATGTTTAAGACATAACATGTAGGTTATTTCCCAGAATTATTAATCTCAGCGTTCATCACTGAACATTAGATGCTGACCGTCACTATTTAAGTCGATTTGTTTAACTGAAGGCTTATTGTCACGCATCCACAACATTTGACACGCCGTTTGTTACGTTTGTTGGTTCGTGCACGATCCCTGGCTAGTTAAGCAACCATCCTAGTAATTTTGACTGTCAATTTTAGTATTTTGCTTTGCCTTTAATCTACGTGGAACGAATACTATAGAAGTTACGGGTATTAGATTTTGCGTTAGTATAAATCGTACTATCTGTGAAAGTCAACTCCCTCAGCTTTTACAAACCATTTGTTGAGTGTTAAAAATTTAGTTGCTGGCTCCCGATAGAGAATAAGCCTGACGGTATCCTGTTATCATGCCTTCTGAAATAGAAGAAATTTCCAGTGGTCGCCTTACTGTTTCGCAAAAGTTTAATTAAATTGGACTGACCTTGCTCACACGTCAAATACTGAGTTGCTACTGGCAGTTTGTGAGGCAGCAGCGTGTGAGAACCATAATAATTTCAATACCCAAAAAATCAAAATTGAAAAAAGGACACAGAGAATCTTTTGAATAAGTCCTACTGAATGCCACTAAATTTCTCCACTCCGAACCCAAGAGGATAATAAATAGATGCCATTAAAATGGTGACCTTTACGAGACCACTAAGGGAGAAACACTTCCTGGGCAGAGTGCGAAATTTCCACGTTGGATTAAAAAGCCAAAGCAAGAGCTATTACATATTATAGTTTGGAAACGGTAACTAATCGAGAACGACTCTCCCCGACTCCTTTTCTGTGGGAAACCACAATTTTGCACGGACGAGTAGCGGTCTGGCTTTACTCCTCCGAGCTACTGAGTGATTTCTAATGGCAGTGGATAAATACATGCGGCAGTTATTAGGGTTGTCTAATGATTCTACTCCTGTTAAAATCATAGTCCTCTTACTAAAAGAAATAGAAAAACTCACCAACTGAAAAGGTGCACCAGTCATCTTCCGAAACTACAATAAGAGTCTGGCGAATGTGAATACCCTGTACTTAGTGGTCGTTCCAAAACATATGGTAATCACGTATCTAAGTTTGAGAGGTAAACTGCAGATAAATCAAAAGTAGAAAATTCAGAGAAGCACCGAGCATGTTTACCGTTTCATGGCGTAGATCAAATGCACTAGCCATGGGATGTATGCTATTGGAAGCCTGGGTGGAGGACTTCCTAGTGGTCTTGCGACGGGTAAAGATTGTAGCTACGCATTTGACAGACGGCCTTGTAACAAATATGCAAACAACATAAGTCCATTGCACAGTCTGACAACTTATAGATCACTCCGCTTCTAATTAATCACACACACGGCACTGGAAAAGTCTACGAAACACTGCCCATGAAAATCTGGATATGAAGAGCGCTTTTCGTCACACAGAACGATGAAGTCCTACTTGGCTCAGTAAGTCATGTCAGCACTACAAAAAACAAAGCCAAAGCATCCAATGTATTTAAGGCACGCTATTCTATCTCCTTTTCAATTCTAGGTATGGAAACAATTCTAAGTGCTACAGATCTGTTTGATTACTGACAAAAGTGTCGAAAATAATGGAAAAAATGCTAGGTGATCACACTAGAAAACATGGTTTTTTTCTGTCAAATATTTTTGCACTTGGAACATTCGAGTAGAAAACTGTGGCCTTAACATTCCAGTTCCCGGCTATCTCCAAACTCAACGGAATATTCCATCGAACGAATCGCTTCTCTGAACGGGAGACTATAACAAGTTGCTATCCCGGAATGTAGCCTATCTGAGGGTTAAGAAAGTTCGTATAAAAAGGAATCCTATAAACTCATTATCATTAAGAGTATCCATTAGAATATTCCATAGAGTGATTCATGGTTCACGGCAATGCCTGATTTCCAGGAATCATCTGAAATACAACTTAAAATGTTCACCTCATCTGTACCCTCATAACGTAAAGTTTTGGAGACCCGTGGGAATTGTTGCTTAAATTGCAGGGAGAAGTGGCCATCCCGTTATACTACGTCACAGTAAATGTGTTAGCAATCAAACATATGGTCAAGATTTGATTCATCGTCTCGCCTACACGTATTCCTAAATTACTAATAGCCTACTTGGTGTCTGTAACGTTTATAGAGCATCCTGACTCGTGTGGAGACCTTGCACATTCACACTATCAATACATACACTGTTGTGCGAATTGTGTTCATGGCCATGCTCGGATACTTAAAACACCCACTTCTAAGATGTGAACATTCACAGAAGAGAGACCTAACAATTGCCCACAAAACAGTGAGAAGCCTAAGTTACCACAATGAGCCTATGGTTTAATAATAATAATAATAATGTATTTCATATAAATTTACAAATTTACATGAAAATGCATGCCAATTTTACAGGCACGATCAAGTATGATATAATATCAAATCGTAGATTGTCTACAAGTTAATCGTATTTCAACTGTTAAATATTCGATACATATAATACACTCATTTTCTGAATTAGGCCGTATAGTTATTGAATTGTACAGTTGTCCTCCAGGTTGAGCGGGAAAATCGACTTCGTTCCGTTTTCATCCCGTGGTTGTAGGCATACGATAACCAACCGATATTGAGGTAAGTACACCTTTTACAAGGGATTGGAATCTGTTTTAGAAAAATTAAAGTGCTGAGGTGAATCATTAAATTGTAATGAAATAGGTAAGTGCAAGTATCATTAATAAATGCATTAATAAAGGAAACACCCTAGGGTAACAACATTCATTTGCAATGTATAATGCTACAGATATATCACAAACTATCATGATATCCACTTTTGGTTTTAATACAATTATCCTCATGCCAGTTGTTTTTATTTTATACCTTTTTGTGCATTTAGTGCACAACCGTACCCTTCAGAGAGTAGGAGTATAATAAGTAATGAAGAGCTATAAGATGTTAAGTTTAATGGAGTAAAATGAGGATCAAGTAAAGACGTTGTCAGAAAATAAATGAGATAAGACATTGTGGAGTGGTATGAAAAGATCTGACGATAGACAGCAAGTTAATTTATAAGATGCCCCATAAATCTGAGCAGATCCCACATGGTCGCATCTCAACAATAGGCTGGGTGAATGGTATATATTTAAAGGTAGAAGCATGATCTGTCAAGGCGTTCATTGTTATCTTTTTCAAGATAAAGATTTAAGCCCTCATAAAAACCAGAAATATCTCGAGCCTTCAACTTTTTTAATGCTGTTCCTGCAGAATGGGGCGATTCACCTTAGTGTCCACCACCATATCTACTGATCAGCTAACTCCACCCTCCCACCTTTTTTGATGTTAGGCTCTGAGACTATGATTATTATGGTTACCGCATATATATTGCTTGGTACCAGACATGTTCGTACCCCATATTCCATCTCCCTAGCTTTCTTAATGAGTGCTTCCAATAGGTCCCCGCGTACATCTTTATGAACATATTATATATGTATGCATGCGTCCTAATGAACAGATTACTTTATAAGAAGACAAAAACCTTGAAGAATAACAAGAATAGGTTTTGTGAATAGTGGAACAAGATTCAGCAGAACAATATAGTTAGGGTTCAATATAGGTAGTATGAACTGAAGGTAAGGTCGGTTGGCAGGACCAAGTGTACTAAATTATCATGACAGTTTTATATAT